CGACCTGAGAGAGAAATGTTAATTTCTTTCTCCGCAGGGTCTGAGAATAGCCTAACTTTGAGAAATTTCGGAGCAGGCTGGTGTTAGGGTCTATTTTAGACTCCGAGTTCCCCATGGCTTACAAAGCTAGCCGGCGCCAGGGAGGGAAGAGGCAAGGAAGACGCGTCCCTTCTCGTTGCGTTCCCTTTAGGGTTAGGTTAGTGAAGTGAGCAGTCAGAGAGGCGTCCCCGTCTGGCTACTCCCTTCTTCGGAAGACTCCAGGAGTCGGATGGAGGACTGCCTTGGCTCAGCCGAGTCTAGGGCGAGGAGTCCGTGTGGACTGGCACCGGGAAGCTGGTTGCCTTAGCCCTGTGTAGAAGAAGGGGGTAGAAGGTAAGTAAAAGTTTTACCTTGTCTGGAGTCTTGTGATGGCGACCTGATGGGGGGGTGGACGGGCGGACGGGGGCGAGAGGGGGGACCGTCGCCCGGCCTCAGAGGCCTAGGGCGAGTCAACCCACCCTCTCCCAGGTTTCGGCACCACTTGTCTGATAAGTCCGACCACCCCCTACTGCTCGTGTTCCCCCAGGAACGGCCAAATGAGTAGACCAGGCGAATTAGGCGTTCAGGCTTTATTGGTCGGGGCTCCGGGTGGACCGAACACCCGGGGTAGAGAGTAGATCGGCCGCGCGCAGGCAATGGGAGACAGGCTTTTTATACTGTGGTAGAAGAGGCTGCAGTAATTTTCCACTGCCGTTGAGCAAGAGAGGGGACGTGCTCTTTCTCAGGCGGAGTTTCTTGCGGCTTATCGGCTATCTCCTAACAAAGGAGGGTTTCGAGGCCTGCCGCGAAAAGGGAAGGAGGGGGATGGGGTCTAGCAACCTAGCTAAACATGAATGGTAGTACTTTTCCACTGTCCTTGGGGTTTTTCCAGTTGGCTGTGATGGGGGAAGGGAAGGCCGGTCCTAACACTTATGATCATGCCTGATTGTAATAAATGACCCCTACCCTTGTTATGCCTCCCTTGATGTCCGTCCCCTCCCTAAAATAGATTCCCACCTTAACCATTTGCCCCAATCTATAAAACCAACTCCTATCCCACCGCCCTCCACTGACTCTTTTCGACTCAGCTGGCTTGCACCTGGGTCACTCACACAAAGCCTGCTTGGTGGTCTCTTTATGTGAGTGACCTGCCTGACAGCCACGTGGTCTCAAAAGCCTCAAACATTTACTACCCGGCCCTTTATAGAACAAATTTGCTAACACTTGCCCTCCATGATCCGGCTCTCTGTGGCCTCCCTCACTTTGTTTTCTTCTGCCCCCTTGGTGTTCTTAGAGCCTGCTGGGCAATCTTCTGCCCCAGGGCCCATGTGCTGTTGCTGTCCTGGCCTACTGTGGTCTCTCAGTCCACAGCCTTACCTCCTGCAGGCCAATGCCACTCTTCAAATGACATCTTTTCACTGAGGCCTTTCCTTACCCTCTTTCAAAATTGTAATCCTCTCACCCCCAAGATTTTTCTGGCTTTTCTTGTCTTCAATTTCACTACATAGTTTACTTTTTAAATTTTATTTTCTCTATCCCCTTCCACCAGAATATATCCTTCATGACGACTTCCCCGCCCCCCCATGGATTTCCTCCCATATGTTTTCAGCATCTAGAATGTCACCTGGAATGAGGTAGGCACTCAATACATTAGAGTTAATGAATTCCCTTTAGGTCCTTTTTCTCTTTGGTTTGCTCATTTATTTATGCCCTCATTCAATGCATGTTTATGAATAATTACACAACGCTACCCACCAGCCGCTGCTGCAGGCAGCGTCAGATGTTTTAGTAAAGGCAACAAACACAACCTCCTGATCTCAAGAAGCTTGCGTTCTATTTTTTTCTTTTTGAGAAAGAAAAAGAGGAAAAAAAGAGGGAAAGAGGGAAAAAGAAATATTACTTCATTCCTGAAATAGGTATCAATAATGGCCGATCAATATTTTGTGTGTTTAAAGTGGATAATATATATTTTGTGTGTTTAAAATGGAGAGCTCTATTGAGTTTATTGTTCTGGATCTGAGTTCAAGTCCTGGATATCGTTATCAATTTTCTGTCTCGTTGAATCTAAATCTTATTATGGGTCTTATGTATCGGGGTGTTAAGATCTCTTATTATTACATTAATCCTTTTACCCTTGTATCCTTGTAGCTTTGAAATCTATTTTATTAATTATGAGAATTGCAACTCCGGCCTTTTATTTATTTATTTTTGCTCTCCATTTGGTTGGTAAGTTTTTTTCCAACCCTTTATTTTGAGTCTTTGTATATCTTTAGATATACTGTTAGATTTTGTCTGTATCTTTTGATTGAGGGATTTAGTCGATTTAAATTTAGGGTTACTGCCATTTGATATTACTGGCTATTTTATCCTTTCATTAATGTAAATTCTTCTTTATATTAATGCTCTTTACTTTTTGGTGTATTTTTAGAAAGGCTCATACTGGTTATTCCTTTCTATATATAATGCTTCTTTTAGAAGTTCTTGTAAAGCAGGCCTGGTGGTAATAAAATCTCTGAGTACTTGCTTGTTCCTAAAAGATTTTATTTTTCCTTCAATTGTAAAGCTTAAATTGGCAGGATATGAAATTCTGGGCTGAAAATTCTGTTCTTTTAAGTATATTGAATATTGACCCCCACTCTCTTTTAGCTTGTAGGGTTTCCGCTGAGAGATCTGCTGTAAGCCTGATAGGCTTCCCTTTATGGGTAACCTGATCTTTCCCTCTGGCTGCCCTTAATATTTTCTCCTTCGTTTCGATACTGGTAAATCTAATGATTATGTGCCTTGGTGTTGGTCTTCTTGAGGAATATCTTTGTGATGTTCTCTGTATTGCCTGGGGTTGAATAGTGTCCTGCTTTGCTAAGTTAGGAAAATTTTCCTGGATAATGTCCTGAAAAGTATTTTCCAGCTTGAATTCATTCTCTCCATCACATTCAGGTACACCAATCAAACGTGCATTAGGTCTTTTCACATAGTCCCATATTTCTTGGAGACTTTGCTCATTCCTTTTTTCTCTATTCTTGTCTTGTCGTTTTATTTCATTAAGTTGGTCTTCGACCTCTGATATCCTTTCTTCTGCTTGATCCATTCGGCTATTTAAGCTTGTACATATTTCACTAAGTTCTCGTGTTGTATTTTTCAACTCCATAAGTTCATTTGTATTCCTCTCTATATTGTCTATTCTTTTCATCATTTCATCGAACCTTTTTTCAAAGTTCTTAGTTTCTTTACATTGGGTTAGAACAAGTTCCTTTAACTCCCAGAAGTTTCTTATCATCCACCTTTTAAAGCCTACTTCAGATAATGGAACACAGTCCTTTTCCATCAGGACTTGTTCTGCTGCTGATGAGTCCTTTTCCATCAGGGCTTGTTCCGTTGCTGATGAGTCCTTTTCCATCAGGGCTTGTTCCATTGCTGATGGGTTCTGATTTTGGGTATACTCGGCCTTCTTAGGCTGTTTTTTTCCCTTCATTGTAGATGAACCCCCCCCTTTTTTTTTTTTTTTTTTTGAGACGGAGTTTCGCTCTTGTTACCCAGGCTGGAGTGCAATGGCACGATCTCAGCTCACCGCAACCTCCGCCTCCTGGATTCAGGCAATTCTCTTGCCTCAGCCTCCTGAGTAGCTGGGATTACAGGCACGCGCCACCATGCCCGGCTAATTTTTTGTATCTTTAGTAGAGACGGGGTTTCACCATGTTGACCAGGATGGTCTCGATCTCTTGACCTCGTGATCCACCCGCCTCGGCCTCCCAAAGTGCTGGGATTACAGGCTTGAGCCACCACGCCCGGCCAAGATGAACCGCCTTTCTAATTAGGTTTCTGAGTCGACTTCCGATTTATTGATTCCCAGTGCTGGGATCCGAGCAACCCACTGTGGCAGCCTAAATAGCAGCGATAAGACTGATGGTGCTCTTCTGCCTGGGAATCTCTGATCTGGCTTCCCTCGAGTCCGCAACAAGCGGCTCTGACTTCCGGGAGCTCCAGACTCTGGTCAGTAGGGGAAGCGGTGCCGTTTGCTCTGCATGAAGAGCTGCTGTGCAGAGTCGCTGGCAAAACCGCTGCTGTGGCCACGAGAGTCGCGCTGGCGACCCGTGGGGCTCATCCACTGGGAATCGGCTGATCCGTAAGTGACGAAAATTCGTCTAAAGGTGTGGCATCGTCGTTCTCTGAGCTTTCACTGGGAGCTACAATCCCGAGCTGTTAGTGATCGGCCATCTTGGATCTGTTTTTGAAGCTTGCGTTCTAGATCATTCGTGGTGGGCTGGGACACGGTGGTGTCAGTGCTTTGGGGCTGATTGTTAAATTTTCAACTGTTAAACACAACCATTAAAAAAGTTAAATAAATCACATAACTTTACAAATAAATTACATTAAAAACAGAAGTAATAAATACTCCAGAGGCACCACTTCCCAATCGCTACGTTCTATTTCTTGGTTCTTGATGTTATTACTTCAAGGGTATCAGATAACCAGGATCAGCACTGTCTTTTGGAAAACCCAGCTCAGTGGTTTTCCAACAGAAACTCCCTCTCGCTGATTCTCAGGAGTCTATCTAAGTAGAGTTAATGTTATCCACCTGTTGGTTACAGAAGTAGCCTGTCTTCCCCCAGGAGGCTGTTTGCTCGGTTTGACACTGAATGCTCCCCCTTCCCCCGACTGGGGAGAGGAGTATCATCAGAGTGCACAGCCGCAGTGGAGGCGCACGGGGGCGTGCAGGGGCGCACAGGCTCCTGCCCCTGCGGGTGGGAAAGGCAGGAGGTGCCCGGGTCCCCGCTTCCGGGCTGAGCCTGCCTTGGCCACTGGTATGGGAGCCTTTAAGGTAGGAAGGAACGGAGATCGATCACTCGAGCCTCCACTTGCTGAGCCTGTGGAAGCGAGACGCGGGGATCGGCTGGGAATGCCTGGGAGCGCCGGCGCGCGGAGCCAGGTGGGAGGTGCGAGGCGGCTGCGCGGCGTTCTAGGACTACCGGGCACCAAAGGTGGGTGGACGCTGGGGCAGCCGGGCCTGGAGGGGACAGGGAGGGCGGCTCAGGTTTAGTCGCGTGGCCCCAGGTGCGCGGCCTTCGCCCCGCAGCACCCGTGGTGCTGGCCCGGGCCTCGGCTCTGCGGCAGAAGTCGCGGTTGTGGCAACCGGCGCCGGCGCAGCTGCCCCGGGCCGGGGCGTTTCGTCTGCGCGGGCCCGTGGGGCGGGCATCGCCCTGGGCCACGCGCTGATAGTCTCCATCTCTCAGAAAAAGTCACGCCGTGGTCTGTAAAGGGTCCGCCCCGAAGTGGTCAAAGTGTTCATTTTTAGAAACGGATAGTGTTAGGTCGTAAAGACGTTCTGGAAATTACCTCTAGAGCCCGGCTCTGGCATTTTATGGTAAGGGATACTAATATCGCCTGCGGAGCTGGTGGGAGGGGCTTGGTCTTCTGTCTTAGGCTTAGGGTGGTCTCCATCCCAGGAGACCTTGCTCTTCCACGTTTTAGAGATCGCTTTTCCCCTTGCTGAATTCATAAAAATGTTTTCAATTCACACGTGTTTCATCTTGTAGGAAGAAGAAATTGTCTGGACGAATAACATGAGATCATATAGAATCCCACTTTTGGTGCTTTCAAATCAAGAAAGTAAAAGTAAACCATTGCGGTCTTTCACCTTAAGTATCCTGTGTTTTACTGCTCAAAACACCCGGTTTTTATACTATTCATGATGTCAGAAGGGAAACCTTCTGACAGAAAAAAGCCTCGTAGAAGCTTATCAATCAGCAAGAATAAGAAAAAAGCATCTAATTCTATTATTTCGTGTTTTAACAATGCACCACCAGCCAAACTTGCCTGCCCCGTTTGCCGTAAAATGGTGCCTAGATATGACTTAAACCGGCACCTTGATGAAATGTGTGCTAACAATGACGTCGTTCAAGTTGACCCAGGGCAAGTTGGCATAATAAATTCTAATGTGTCTACGGTAGATGTAACCAGTGCTGCTTTAGAAGATGTAATGCCAGAGAAGTCACCACCACCAAAGGCAAATTTAACTGCTGGCCAAAGTGATTCAGCAAAAATGGCCGTAAAACACAAGTCCAGTCCCTACTTTAAAAGTAATGATGCCTTGGTGTGTACAAATCAAGATGAGCTGAGAAATCGTAGTGTGAAAGTCATTTCTTTGGGAAGCCTAGCATCTAAATTGTCCAGAAAATACACAAGGGCTAAAAAATCAATAGATAAGGATGAAGAATTTGCCGGTTCTAGTCCACAGAGTTCCAGATCCACGGTCATTCAGAGCCTGGTTGATAACTCTTCAGAAATTGAGGACAAGGATCAAATTTTGGAGAACAGTTCTCAAAAAGAAAACATGTTTCTATGTGATTCTCTAAAGGAAGAGTGTATTCCCGAACACATGGTAAGAGGAAATAAAATAATGGAAGCTGAAAGCCAAAAGGCTACCCAGGAATGTGAGAAATCAGCCCTCACCCCTGGCTTCTCAGATAATGCGCTCATGTTATTTTCACCAGATTTCACTCTTGGGAATACATTAAAGTCTACGTCAGACGACAGTCTTGTAAAGCAAGAGTCTATCACAGGAGTGGTTGGACAACGTGAAGCATGTAGTTGTGAAGAAGTAAAAATGACTGTTGCCTCAGAAGCTAAAATACAGCTGTCAGATTCAGAGGCAAAATCTCAGAGTTCTGCAGATGATGTTTCCGCATGTAGTAACATCCAAGAGGCTCCTCGGCAGGGTGACAGTGGCTTAAGCAGTGATATCTCTCGTAGCATTCCTTTGGACCAGGGGTCAAGCTGCGATGGTCCTGATCAAACAACCAGTCATCCTTACTACCTTCGAAGTTTCCTTGTGGTGCTGAAAACCGTACTTGAGAATGAAGATGATATGATGCTCTTTGATGAGCAGGAGAAGGGAATTATAACTAAATTCCATCAGTTATCAGGTATCTTAAGCATGTTTTCAAGTTTTCGTTCCCCATTTGCTGCCCTGATTTGGGCATGATGTGATGGGCCGTAATCTAGTGACCACAAGGAGTCACTGTGGTGTAGTGAGTGCACTGTGGGAGTGTTCGTGGGAGTCAGAGCATACTCAGAGGTTTTATTGAGAGGGATGCATGGAAAAGAGACAATATTTTGGGCCAGGTGAATTTACTCTTGCTGAACTTTGGTTACATCAGAAGCAGCTGTTTTTCTTTTATAGGTATATTTGACAGTTATAAAATAATCTTCCTGATTAAAAAAAATACAGTGTGACTTAGAAAAGGATACCTTGTATTTTCAGCAGGTAATCAGGCTTCTTGTTAAGTTGTTTTGTTCTTCAGAGATGAAAGAATATAATACAGGAAAAAACAACAAACCAACCTGAGGCTTATTTTCTTTCTCCCAACAACATTTAGACTCAGACTGTGCCTTTTAAAAACAGGGCTGTGGAGGAAATGGAAACTTTCAAGTTGAAATTGGTACATTTAAAAATATTAGTCTATGCCTCAAGTCCTTGGCAGCCAGGGGTGGCTCCAAGCCAGCAGTGCAGGTTTGTAGTAAAAAGCCACCCTTGTGTCCTTGCAGTGTTAATTACAGGGGGCCATGATGGGTCTGTGGAACTGAGTCCCTGAGGATAGGAAACAACTTACTTGCTGGCCACACCATCCTTCAGTAAAATACAGCCATGCCCGACTCTTCAGTAGATAAAAAACGAAAAATCTGAGCATTACTGTTAATGCTTCTGTTTTAAATTTGCATGGTGCAATTGTGGTATTCCTTGTGTTACTTTTTAACAATTGAGCAGTATTTCTTCTCTGGGCACAGCTGTGTGCAATGTCCACTTCCATCTCTGCTTTTGCTGTTCTCATCGGAAAATGAACATAATAGCACATTGGCTGTTCTATCCAGACTAGTCACAGATCTTTGGGGGCTGACTGCTTTCATTCGAGTATTTCAGTGATTGGTGGCTCTGTGCTTCCATATAATTGAGAAATATGAACAGTTTTCCTAGTGCAATTTCTGCATATGCTTGTGTTTTATACTCCATGGAGAATCATGTTCAGTCTGTGTGTAGAAATAATTACTGCTAATTGTTTTTGCCTTTTTATTTTTGTATTTTTAAGTTCTTTTAGAGACCGGGTTTCTGTCACCCAGGCTGGAGTGCAGTGGCATAATTATAGCTCACTGTAACCTTGAACTCTTGGTCCCAGGTGATCCTCCTGCCTCAGCCTTTCAAAGTGCTGAGATTACAAGTGTGAGCCACAGGCTGGGCATGGTATAACCCTGTCTCTACTAAAAATACAAAAGTTTGCTGGGCATGGTGGTGGGCGCCTATAATCCCAGCTACTTGGGAGGCTGAGACAAAAGAATTGCTGGAACCTGAGAGGTAGAAGTTGCAGTTAGGGAAACTCGGTCTCAAAAAAAAAAAAAAAAAAGCGTGTCCGGGCACAGTGGCTCATGCCTGTAATCCCAGCACTTTGGGAGGCTGAGGCGGGTGGATCACGAGGTCAAGAGATCGAGACCATCCTAGTCAACATGGTGAAGCCCCGTCTAATAAAAATACAAACAATTAGCTGGGCACGGTGGCGCATGCCTGTAATCCCAGCTACTCGGGAGGCTGAGGCAGGAGAATTGGCTGAACCCAGGAGGCGGAGGTTGCGGTGAGCCGAGATCGCGCCATTGCACTCCAGCCTGGGTAAGGAGCGAAACTCCGTCTCAAAAAAAAAAAAAAAAAAGCGTCAGCCATGATGCTGGGTCAATTTTGCCTTTTTAAAGAAAAAAGAAAAATGTTGGAAATATTGAAAATACAATTAAGCCATTTTAGAGTTGGCTGAAATTTAAAGATAATCTGGGTAATAGAGAGATTGAGGCCAAACAAATTAATTAAGAAGCTTGGCCAAGATTACTGGGTTAGAGATGACTATCCTACTAAAGCCGGACTTTTTTTTGGGAAAGTTATTTTCAGATTATTTCAATCAAATTAGAATAATGCATATTAAACCAAAAGCAGAGAGTTAAATAATTCTGGGTAGGGCCTCTCTGAGGGAGTAGAAATGTTGATGGCCAGAAAGTGGGGAAAGTGATTTTAGAAGTTTTACAATGACCCATTGTTACCCAATTTTTAAATGTGCTTTCAAAATGGTTTATACCGTCAAATGATGGCCTTATACATATGGTGAGCATGTGTGTATTTCCAAATAGTACATTTATTCACTTTAGGTTTTAAAGGTAAATGTAGTGTTTTTCACCATTTTTCTTAACTTTATTGCAGGTACTGGTCAGAAGTTATACGTAAGGCTCTTTCAACGTAAATTAAGCTGGATTAAGATGAGTAAATTAGAATACAAGGAGATTGCCTCAGACTTAACACCTGTGATTGAAGAATTGCAGCATGCAGGCTTTCTACAGACAGGTATGACTAGTAAAAGAAAATGTGAAATGAAAATATAATTCACAGAGCTGAGCTTCTGCAGAATGGTGGCAGTATTAGTATGGTGCCCTCTCCTGGGTGGCGCCTGGTAACTTACTGTTTTTTAATTGAATTTTTAATCTTAGAACAACAATTTGTTCATGTGCTGCTAAAGCCATTCTTAGCTTGAGTTAAGAATGAAAGATTGCTGCTGTTTTCTTGACTCTGGCAGATTTAGAGTGAAAGTCACCTGGGGATAGACATGGGTGTGTGCCATAGAAGAAATAACACCCCTTCTTGGTGCCCTCCTTCCAGCAAGAACTTGACTCATCTTGCGCAGGGTCCTCATCTTTATGATAGAGTAGAGCTGGTTGTCTGAAACCAGTATGGCCTCCAAAACTTCATCTGCTGCACGTGCACACACATACAGCTCTCTGATGACGCTGATTGCCTGAAGCGTTGTTGAATTGCTTTAAGCCTCTGTGAACACTAAGGAGAATCTGTTTCCTGCAGTGATACCCTTCGTTATCTAGCATTCGTTAAGTACCTACCCATGTATTGGGTACAAAATTGTACTGTATTAGAAAAGGAAAACGTGAGCCTTGGCTTCAAGTTGCTGACATTTTAGACCCAAATAAGCAAATCAGCCCGATGGTTTCTTTGGGGCAGTTTGTTGTGGGGAGCAGTAAGTGGGGATGAAGGGAAGGAAGCAGGAAGTATTGAAGGGTGATTGTTAGGGTGGGGCTGGATGCGGCGGGCTGGGGAAAGTTTTGGGAGAGGCATAAAGCTCAGTGAAGGAGCTTAGATGTGGATGGTTAGTGTGGGACAGAGGACATGCTGCAGAGCAGTGCTTCCCACACATCAGTGCCAGCAGGGTCACCTGGGAGCTTGGCTCAGTCCTCACCTGACTAGGAAAATCTGGTGCAGATTCCATAAATTCATATGTGTGACAGGCATGCCAGGTGATTCCTGCAGGTGAATCTTGACTTACCTTCAAATAAGCAACAAAACCAGGATCCTAGTGCTCACTGTAGCACTCAGTCAAGTGCAAGTCCTACCCAAACTCCAGCCCCATGAGACCTGGCCCTGGCTGTCCCTGTCACTCTGCCACGGCCACCCATCCCTCAGCATTCTTCACCAGGATGGGTGCACTCCTGTCTCAAAGCCGTGGAGTGACTTTCCCCTCCACCCAGGTCAGTTTCCACCACATAGCCACACGGCCTATTCCTGGTTTCCTTCACCTCTGCGTGGTGTTGTTTTGTCCCAGGTTTGCCTGACTGCACTGTGTGAAATACAGCAAGCCTCCTGCCAGCTTGTTTGCCTCCCCAAGTTGTGATTTTCTTTAGAGAGGTTATTACCACCTGATATATATGCCTATTCATTTAACTATTATGCTGGGAGGTTCCTGTGGATGGGATTTCTTTCACTAGCATCATGCCCGGGGCCTTAGAACGTTACCAGGCACACAGTGTACACCAATAAATATTTGTTGGAGGAGGAAGGTGCTGCCCTAAACTGTGAAGCCTTGACGGTAAAGACCTGCCAGGTCTGACTGAGCTGAATTCCTATGTGAAGGTTGGTGTCGGGGCCCACAGTACAGAACAGGCTCATGAATGCGGAATGAGCAGGAGAGGCTTGTGGGAGAAGAGGGCTGATGATCAGTTCATTCTGACCTGGTCTGAGAGGTCCTGTTTTGTAGGGGTTTTGTGACGAGAAAGGCAGGGAGTATATATTCCAAAGCAGTGGTGGGATGCCCAAACCATAATGGCTATCCATGTGTGTCTTTATTTCCTTTACATTTTAGTGAGAAATTCTACTATTTGATTTTTTTTTTTTTTTTTCTTTTTTGAGATAGTATCTCGTTCTGTTGCCCAGGCTGGAGTGCAGTGGCGCAATCTCGGCTCACCGCAACCTCCACCTCCCAGCTTCAAGCAATTCTCCTGCCTCAGCCTCCTGAGTAGCTGGGATTACAGGCACTGCCACCACACCTGGCTAATTTTTGTATTTTTAGTAGAGACGAGGTTTCACCGTGTTGGTCAGGCTGGTCTTGATCTCCTGACCTTGTGATCCGCCTGCCTCGGCTTCCCAAAGTGCTGGGATTACAGGAGTGAGCTACCATGCCCGTTCTTGGTAACTTTTAAGAGATAGGATAGTAGCATTATGAATACATTAATAATACCATGTTAATAATTCCACATTTAATCATTGGTTTGGCCAGCTAATTAAAATTTTCTAAGTAGAATTTCATTTTATCTTCATCCTACTGAGGTAAATAAAGCTAGAAAATGGTAAAATTTTAAAAACCCTTTTTTTTTAACCATTTCAGAATCTCAGTTGCAAGAACTCTCTGAAGTGCTTGAACTCCTTTCTGCTCCTGAACTGAAATCCCTGGCCAAGACCTTCCACTTGCTGAATCCCAGTGGACAGAAACAGCAGCTGGTGGACAGCTTTCTCAAATTGGCCAAACAGCGTTCAGTCTGCACTTGGGGCAAGAATACGCCTGGAATTGGTGCAGTGATTTTAAAAAGGTTCTGTTGGCTATCATTATAGTAAAACAATTTAAAATGTTGATAGCACTTAATGACCTATAATAGATCGTATACGTGAGTGAACTGTAATAGTACGCTGCGGCTGCAGTTAGATTGAGAAGGCTGAAAAAGCCGTAACTGTGATAGCCTGGGTTCTTTCTTCCGTTACTATACAACATCTTTGTTATAACACTGTACTGATTTCCAGGACCAAGAAAAATCGAAAGGCAATAGGCCTCTGGTAAATTCTAGTATTTTATTTTCCAGGAAAAATACAGTTTTAAGTGATTCTTACAGGATTTTAGACTAAACTATTCAGTCACATTTTTATTATAGTTAAGTTTTTGTTTACTAAACAAAGTATAATCAGGCAGTCTTAATGTGCAAATTTTCCTGAGTTTAAACACAGCAGTTTACCAAAACTGTTGGTGGTTTCTTTTGTCCTTGAGAAGCCCTTGAACTAATTTGAAAATTACACAAACTTTTAGAATTGATTTATTTTGCCCATGATATCAACTTTAGTCTGGGAATTCACTACTCTGGAGTCATTGAGGATGAAATGAGAGGATGCTTTTGAAAACACTTTAAAATGAAGTTAGTTATTTTATATATTTCTTTTGTATATTCAATTGTTATGAGCCCATCCTTGCTGAGGTACTATAAATACGAATCTTTAATAAAACTTAGGTACAGTAAGGCAGACATTAAGAAAAACATCAATACCAACACTTCAAAAAGGTTTATATTGTAGATTTTTAAAAAATGCTCTAATTACTTATTTGTGATTAACTGACTTGAGAAGTATGGAATCCTTATCCATGTGATAAGTTAAATGTCTTCTAAGTCCTTTGTCTAATTTTATTTCTTAAGTATTTGATGTTAACCTTATATGTAACATTTTGTGGGCAAGTACACATTAAAATTAGTGGCCCTCTGACTGGGCATGGTGGCTCATGCCTGTAATCCCAGCACATCGAGAGGCTGAGGCAGGCAGATCATGAGGTCAGGAATTAGAGACCAGCCTGGCCAATATGGTGAAACCCCATCTCTACTAAAAATACAAAAATTAGCCGGGCGTGGTGGTGTGCATCTGTAATCCCAGCTACTCAGGAGGCTGAGACAGGAGAATCGCCTGAACTCAGGAGGTGGAGGTTGCAGTGAACTGAGATTGCACCACTGCACTCCAGCCTGACTCCATCTCAAAAAAAAAAATTAGCAGCCCTGTCTTGGTATATGCACTTAGCATAGAACAGATAAAATAAATAAGATGAACATATTTTGTCATTGACTATGGACTTCTAGGAAAATAGAATCCTCAAGGCGGTTTTAATTTTAGTAAAAACCACTGTCTAGTTTGTCCTTTATTTCTTCATTTTGATGTAAAGCCCAGCAGTGGAATTTCTGAGTCCCTGGCAGCCCATGTCAGGACAGTGCCTGGTGCTCTTTCTCTGCTGTTATCGTAAAGAAACAGAAAAAACGCACATTATTACAGAAAAAGGCACATTATTTACGCTTTCTTAATCCTTGCAGGAGTCCCTGCTTAGTTTTCTCCGTTTGATGCTTCACAGCCTGGAGGCTGTGTCCACTGGGAGCATCCCTGGGATTCTGCCTGGAGGTAGATCAAGTGGGCACTTTGGGGCACTCTGCAGATGAGTGGCTCTCAGTTCAGTGGTGGTATAATAAGAATCCCACCCCTTCCCCTTCAACTCCGTGGTGGTGATACTCATCTCTCCCATGCCCTCAGGGATGCAGTGCTGCTTTTGGCTTAATAGCTTCTGCACCAGGAGGGTGTGACATCTTTCACGAGGCCAGTGGTTCTCAACTGGGGGCATCTGGCATCATTTGGAGACATTTCTGGTTGTCAGTACTGGAGGTGGTGATACTGATGGCATCTAGTGACTAGAGGCCAGGGACACTACTGAGCATCCTATAATTTACAAGACAGCCCCTGACAACCAAGAATTATTTGGCCTAAATGTCAATAGTGCTGAAGCTGAAAAACCCTGCTTTCGATGTTGTCTAAGCTGCTAGAGTCAGAGGGCCCACAGGATCCTGGATTTAATTCAGACCTCCAAGCCCACCTTGCAGATACCAGAGTTGAACTGAATTCACTCCATTGTTAACGTAGAATAGAGATGCTGCTGGACTACTCTATACACTAGAGCAGGGGTCTCCAAGACCCAGGCCGCAGACTGGTAACTGCCCATTGCCTGTTAGGAACTGGGTGGCACAGCAGGAGGTGAGCAGTGTGCCAGCAGGCATGACTGCCTGGGCTCCGCCTCTTGTCAGATCAGCAGTGGCATTAGATTCTCATAGGAGCATGAACCCAATTGTGAATTGCGCTTTTGAGGGATCTGCGTTGGGCATTCCTTATGAGAATCTGAGGTGCAACGGTTTCAACCCAAAGCACCTCCCCCAAACCCAGTCCATGGAAAAGTTCTCTTCCATGAAATCACTCTCGGTGCCAAAGTCATCGACTGCTGCACTGGAGAACAGCACCAGACTTTGGTGTATACATTTGTACCACACCTTGGTACACAAAATCTGATGTTTTGCCCAGAGCCTATTTAAATACCATTATTTAATCTAAATCATCACTTGAATCAAAAATTGAGAATTTCTTAATGTTGATCAGGCAATACTTTTATGAAAGTTTTCCTCGTATTTGAAGTGCTCATGACCAGGGTAAACCCCACCCTACTCTATGGCCGAGGAAGGAAGCACTTTTATGGAGCCAAACCATGTGTGGAACCATTTGGAGATGTATATTCATTTACTCCCATGTATCCCTGGGTGAGCTCTGCGCCCCAGAGCAGTTCAGTAATGCTCCAGTGTTTAAAATAGTGAATGTCATTTCTCTTTATTTTAGATGAAAATAATTTGTAAATCTGATACCCAAATGTTTCAAAAGCTAAAAGGTATTCTACATTGTACATTTTTCAGAGCTAAAGCCTTGGCTGGGCAGTCAGTACGAATCTGTAAAGGCCCCAGGGCTGTGTTTTCCCGGATCTTGCTGCTGTTTTCATTGACCGACTCCACGGAGGATGAAGATGCTGCTTGTGGAGGTCAGGGGCAGCTTTCAACGGTCCTGTTGGTCAACCTTGGCCGAATGGAGTTTCCTAGTTACACCATCAATCGGAAAACCCAAATCTTCCAAGACAGAGATGATCTTATTAGGTGAGATGATGTTAGCTCACTTTAATAGCTATGTGTGCATTTCACAATTTAGTACAAGCTTTTATTTTTTTCCAGCCAAAATAGAAACATTAAGTCCATAGCCAAAACAGTTTTTAATCTTTCTTTGCCCCACTTGTATACATTTCTGTGACTATAGGGAAAATGTAGAAATGTGCCGAGGTCATGGTTGCCAAAACCAAGGAATTTTGAGTTAGAATTGATTACAAAAGCTTTCTCTGGTTTATGTTTCCAAGTACCTTTAGCCGGGAGTTGTTTTTTATTTTTAATTTGAGACAAGATTTTGCCCAGGCTGGAGTGCAGTGGTATGATCACAGCTCACTGTAGCTGGGCCCAAGTGATCCTCCCACCTCAGCCACCCAAGTAGCTGGGACCACAGACACATACCACCACGCTTAGCTAATTTTTGTTGTTGTTGTTGTTTTTTGGTAGAGATGGGGTTTTGCCATGTTGCCCTGGTGGTCTCAAACTCCTGGACTCAAGCAATCTGCCCACCTTGGCCTCCCAAAGTGCTGGGATTACAAATGTGAGCCACCACCCTTGGCCTGTATTTTTTTGACACAGACATTTTAACAAACTTGGCTTATGAACATGTGTTGGCATGAACAAGACTGAAGATGAATGTTTTCCTAGTAATAACACTTTAGGTAAAGCCATTAATAACTTGTATACTGTATATCATACATATGATAATCAGATCTCATACAAATGATAAATTAGAAGTTTTCACTAATTTATATTGGCACATGGATTTAGTGAAAATTTGGTTTGTCCAGTAAAAGTAGTTTTTGAACTAAAAATAGAACTACCATGTGATCCAGCAATCCCACTACTGGGTATATATCCAAAGGAAAAGAAATCGGTATATTGAAGAGAGATATCTGTACTCCCATGTGTATTGCAGTCTATTCACGATAGGCAAGATATGGAATCAACCTGAGTGGCCATCAGTGGATGAATGGATAAAGAAAATGTGGTGCATGTAACACGATGGAGTACTATTCAGCCATCAAAAAGAGTGACATTCTCTTATGGTGGCGATGTGGTTGAACTCGGAGGACATTGTGTTACATGAAATAAGCCAGGCACAGAAAGACACATACTGCATGTTCTCACTTATATGTGGGAGCTAAAAAGGTGGATCTCACAGAAGTAGAGAGTAGAATTGTGGTTCCCAGAGGCTGGGAAGGATGTGGGGGCAGGGGACAGGGAAAGGTTGGTTAACAGACACAAAAGTGCAGCTAGATAGAAGGAATAAGTTCTGTTGTTCTGTAGCAGTGTCAGATACTGTGATTCATAGTTTATTATGTTTTTCTAAATAGCTGGAAGAATGGATTTGGAATATTCCCAACACAAAGAAATGATAAATGTTCGAGGTGATGCCTGCTATGGCAGCACATGCCTATATTTCTAGCTACTAGGGAGGCTGGGGCAGGAGGGTCACTTGAGCCCAGAAATTCAGGACTAGCCTGGGCAACATAGTGGGACCCCATCTCTAAAGCATTTTCAAAAAAGTTTGAGGTGCCGGATGTGCTAATTACCCTAATTTGATCATTAAACGTTGTATACATGCACTGAAACATCACACTGTGCCTCATAATATGTGCAGTTACATGTCAATTAAAAATAATAGGTGCAAAACAAATAATGGGATTACAGTATTAAAAAGTAGGTTTTGATAAGAAAGAATAGCATAGATCTTACAGAAAAAAAATTGGATTTCCTTAGAAAAACACCTTTTATAGGAAAAATTAATTTGGATTTCCTAAAATGTCACTTCTGATTCTTGATTTGGATTTCTGACTCAAATTTTTTTTTTTTTTTTTGAGACAGAGTTTCGCTCTTGTTACCCAGGCTGGAGTGCAATGGCGCCATCTCGGCTCACTGCAACCTCCGCCTCCTGGGTTCAGGCAATTCTCCTGCCTCAGCCTCCTGAGTAGCTGGGATTACAGGCACGCGCCACCATGCCCAGCTAATTTTTGTATTTTTAGTAGAGACGGGGTTTCACCATGTTGACCAGGATGGTCTCGATCTCCTGACCTCGTGATCCAGCCGCTTCGGCCTCCCGAAGTGCTGGGATTACAGGCTTGAGCCACCGCGCCCGACCTTCTGACTCAAATTTAACCAAAATCGATTCTGATACTTGATTTTAGGAAAGTCCCTTAAATGTTTCTAGGAAAGCCATGTGCTTTAAGAAGTTCTGGAAATTTCTGAATCACAGCAGTGTCAGTATAATCTGATTTTAGCCATTTTACCTTAGCTGTCAGGAAGCTTACTATCTTCTTTGTGTTCAGTTGGAATAGCTTTTTTAGTGAAATATTATTAGACTATTTCTTCATACTCTGTTTTCAGTTGTCTCATATCTTTTTTTTTACCTTTTTTGTTTTTACTGGCTTTATGCTTTTCCGGCTTGTGAGAATGTGTACTCTGAAGCCACGTTCCAGTTTCTATACCAATGAATTAAGAACCCACCCTGTGCCTCAGTTTCCTCATCCGTCAAATGGGGAGAATAACAGTATATACTTACAGACATGTGCTGGTGTATGGGAAGGGCTTAGAGCCTGGCCTGTGGGGAATGCCTACTACATATTCATTACCGTTTTAATCATCATCGTTACTGTCATACCCAAGTTCTATAACAAAACCACAGTTCACAAGTTTAAAAGGTATCTCATGTTCTTTCTAGAAAGTAAGTATGCTGTAAGTAATAAAAATAATGAAAACTTCCTTGGTTAAGCAGAGGGCTTTAACATGTAAATGAAGCTGGATTTAATTGACTTATGGAAGGGAATAGTATACAGTATCTGGCAATGCAATAACTGACATGGAAACTTTTGTTGTCTACCTCTGTACTCGAGATAATTTATCCTTTTTTTTTTTTTTTTTTAATTGAGATGGAGTTTCGCTCTTGTTACCCAGACTGGAGTGCAGTGGCGCGATCTCGGCTCACTGCAACCTCTGCCTCCTGGGTTCAGGCAATTCTCCTGCCTCAGCCTCCTGAGTAGCTGGGACTACAGGCACGCGCCACCATGCCCAGCTAATTTTTTGTATTTTTAGTAGAGACGGGGTTTCACCCTGTTGACCAGGATGCTCTCGATCTCTTGACCTCGTGGTCCACCCGCCTTAGCCTCCAAAGTGCTGGGATTACAGGCTTGAGCCACCGCGCCCGGCAGTTTATCCTTTTTAAAATGTTCCCATTCATTCAATAAAAATGAGTGTTGAGTACCTATCTTGTGCCTTGGTTGCAGCAGGGAACAAGAGAGGGCCTCAGCCATCATGGAGTTATGTTTTCTTAGGGAGATAGGAAATCAATAATATTTCAAGTGGGTGAGAAGTGCTGTGATAATTGAGGGGCAGGCTGAAGAAGTTCTTTATAGACTGAGTGTCAGAGAGAGTGGCCCTGGAGAGGTGACATTTGAAGTGGAACTTGAGGATGAGTTCTGGGTGCCTGCATCCTGGCCGCCAGGTAGCGTGTGCACAGGCCCCGAGGCAGGAAGGAGTTTGTTGAGTTGGAGGAACTCAGGAGTCCCCTGGCTAAGATGTGGGGGTGGCCAGGACTGGGTTGGTGGCAGTGGAGACAAGTGAATGCATTTGAGACAGTTTGGAAGCAGAAAAGACAAGTCTTGATTGTGATGAGGGCGAGGAGAGGAATGGACCAAGGATGGCTCTGGTGTTTTGCCTTGGGTGGTGGCGCCATCCAGTGAGGAGAGGATTGGGAGAGGTGTTGGTGCTGGAAGCATCAGTGTGTTTGGTTGAAGCTGTCATGTGTGGCATTGGACTTACTGTCAGGAACTCAGGGAATGGGTCTAGCCTGGAAAAAGTCAACAGTTTTGAGAGTCACTGGCATATGGACAGTGTTTGAAGCCATGGAGCTGAATGAGCAGCATATTATAAAACAATTAGATCTAAGAATTTCTGAGCAAATGTTTACATTTGGAGGCAATTTCTTTACTCTAACTTTATAGTGTTTGTACATCTGTTATTGTCTTCTTTTCTTTTAGATGTGAGACCAAAATACAATGAACGTGGACTCAGAGTGTTAACAGAATTTGTTGGTTAAATGCCTTTGTTTTTGGGTAGCTAAAGGAGCAATGAAAAATTGTCTTTCTTAAGCTAAGTTATGTTGTAACATTCCAGCGTCCTCATCTCCCAAAGAGCATCGTTTAGTTATTTTGAAATATTCCAAGTAATTCTCTTAGTGTGGGCAGAATCCCTTTGGCTACCTCTGCTTGTAAATGATTAGATTCTCAGATCTACATCTGATTATAATTCTGACATGGCTTACATGTTTGCTGTCATATTGTTGAGTGAGTGAATGGATGAATGAATGAATGAGTGCCACCATCAGGAATGATGAGCTGACCCGTATCATATTTATATAATGGAGCATGTTATGTAACAATACAGCATAAATGTTTTCATCTTCCTAGTTGGGCTTTCTGTATCAGTCCTTCCGGGACACTCCAGTGATTACTTAAGTTAGATTATTACTAGAAGAAAATTTAAGTGCCCTCATATTTTAAAAAACACACTTTCACCCTTCAGAATTAGATCTGTTGGCTAGGATGTGGTGGTTCTATGGGAATGCTCTTTCATATCTGGAACTTGGATGCCATGTTCCTCCAGATATGCAGCAGCCGTGCACATGCTGAGTGACATTTCTTCTGCAATGGCCAACGGGAACTGGGAAGAAGCTAAGGAGCTTGCTCAGTGTGCAAAACGGGATTGGGACAGACTGAAAAACCACCCTTCTCTGAGGTGAGAGTTTTATAGGTACCTGCCGCAAGTTGTTCCAAACACAGTAGTTTTCTTCATGAAGAATATACTCCTTTTGTACTGTGGTTAAACCAGCTGTGGAATTGAATTTTTACGTGCTGTGCCTAGAGTGAAAGTGCTGTGTGAAGTAGAAGGAAATGTCTGAAGGTTTAAAGTGAATTTGATAGAACTCAGATTCCTGGGCAACACACCTGCCAGTCCCATTCTTGGCTTGTCGAATGCCGTTTGTAGGGATGTTGGCCCCCCTGAGGACTGGTGAGCTGAACTGAAAGGTGAGAGAAGCCAGCAGCAGGTCGGATGTGGGTAGCATGATAGGTGTGTTCTTCTGAAGGAGGTTCAAGTAGGTGTTAGCTCTGAAAAAGACAGCCCAAGTGAACTTTCAGAGTTCCAAGTACAGAGCAAGTGATCTTTTTGTTTGAAAATGTTAAACATCTTCAATATTTGTTAAGACATGTTTTCCTCTGTTGTTACATAGTGATGAAAAAAAATTAGTATTTTCTGACACCTCTTTCAAAAAACCGTTTAGGATATACAGTTGACCCTGGAATAACGGAGGGGTTTGGGCAGCAACCTCTCACACAGTGAAGAATCTGTGCGCAACTTCTGATTTTCCCATTACTTAATTACTAATAGCTTACTGTTGACTGGAAGCCCTACTGATTACATAAACAGTCAATTCACACACATTTCATACGTTATAAGTATTATATGCTGCATTGTTATAGTAGAGCAAGCTAGGGAAAAGAAAGTATAAAGAAAATCTAAGAGGGCTGGGCACGGTGGCTCATGCCTGTAATCCCAGCACTTTGGGAGATGGAGGCAGGCAGATCACATAAGGTTGGGAGTTCAAGACCAGCTGACCAACATGGAAAAACCCCATCTCTACTAAAATTACAAAATTAGCTGGGCTTGGTGGCACATGCCTGTAATCCCAGCTACTCAGGAAGCTGAGGCAGGAGAATTGCTTTAACCCAGGAGGTGGAGAGGTGGCAGTGAGCTGAGATTTCGCCATTGCACTCCAGCCTGGGCAACAAGCAAAACTCCATCTCAAAAAATAAAAAAAAAGAAAATCATAAGGGACCAGGCGTGGTGGCTCATGCCTGTAATCTCAGCACTTTGGGAGGCCAAGGTAGATGGACCACTTGAGGTCAAGAGTTCTAGACCAGCCTGATGAACATGGTAAAACCCCATCTCTACTAAAAATACAAAAATTAGCTGGGCATCATGATGGGTGCCTGTAATTCCAAATACTCGGGAGGCTAAGGCAGGAGAATCACTTGAAATTGCGAGACAGAGGTTGCAGTGAGCTGAGATCATGCCACTGCACTCCAGCCTGGGTTACAGAGTGAGACTCCCATCTCAAAAAAAAAAAAAAAAATCAGGCCGGGCGTGGTGGCTCACGCCTGTAATCCCAGCACTTTGGGAGGCCGAGGCGGGCGGATCACGAGGTCAAGAGATCGAGACCATCCTGGTCAACATGGTGAAACCCCGTCTCTACTAAAAATGCAAAAAATTAGCTGGGCATGGTGGCGTGTGCCTGTAATCCCAGCTACTCGGCAGGCTGAGGCAGGAGAATTGCCTGAACCCAGGAGGCGGAGGTTGTGGTGAGCCGAGATGGCGCCATTGCACTCCAGCCTGGGTAACGAGTGAAACTCCATCTCAAAAAAAAAAAAAAAAAAAATCATAAGGAAGAGAAAACATATTGACTATTCATTAAGTGGGTGGAAGTGGGTCATCATGAAGCTCTTCATCCTTGTTGTCTTCACATCGAGTAGGCTGAGGAGAAGGATGACGAGGAGGGCTTGCTCTTGCTGTGCCTGGTTGCAGGGGCAGAAGAAAATCCACAGATAACTGGACCCATACAGTTTAAACCCATGTTGTTCAAGGGTCCGCTGTATATTTATAAAGAAATAATGTTGATTAAAAATCCCAGAAGTTAGATGACTATAAACAAAGGTTGATACACTTCTTCTGTAAAAGGTGCAGGCCATGTGGTCTCTGGCACCAACCTGACTCTGCTGCTGTAGTGCAAAAGCAGCTACAAGTAGGACGTCCGCAGATGAAGGCGCCTGGCTGGGTTCCACTTAACATCATTTGTGGACACTGCAATTGGAGTTTCATATAATTTTCACATATCACAGTGTTATTTTTCTGTTTATTTTAACAATTTAAAAAGGTAAAAACCGGTGCGGGGCGGTGGCTCATGCCTGTAATCCCAACACTTTGGGAGGCTGAGGTGGGTGGATCACAAGGTCAGGAGATTGAGACCATCCTGGCCAACATGCTGAAACCTTGTTTCTGTTAAAAGTGTAAAGTTAGCCAGGTGTGATGGTGGGTGCCTGTAGTCCCAGCCATTCGGGAGGCTGAGGCAGGAGAATCATTTGAAACCAGGAGGCGGAGGTTGCAGTGACCCAAGATCGCACACTGCACTCCAGCCTTGCAACAGAGACTCCATCTCAAAAAAAAAACAAGGTAAAAACTATTCTTAGTTTGCAGGACATAAAAAAGCAGGTGGCAGACCCTGGGTTTGGCTCGTGGGCCGGAGTTTGCTGACCTTGGTTTAGGATGACTAGTTCTCATCTTACTCCACTGTCTGAGTGACCTAGGACATAGCAGCTCGCTGTGAGAATGTAGGTTTGTGGTGTAGAAAATTGTACACAACTGAAAGTATTTAGAATATATCTTTTTTTAAAAGATAGGAATTCAGTCTGCTTCGTCACTTCTTATTGTTGTCTTACAACAAATTAACCGAGTTATTAAACTACTGGTGTATATCTTCATTTTAGATGGCACGCAGAGTTACCAGTCTTTCTGCGGTGTTTCACTGTTGGATGGATTTATACAAAGATTTTGTGTCGGTCTGTGGAAATACTGCAGAGACTTCACATGTATGAGGTTAGAGCACAGGTTCCTGCCCCCCATTTCTGCTGTGACAGCATTAAACGTGAAGGACGGCGATCGGGCTCTCCGCATTTCCTACTTCTTTGGTTAGCACACAGTAATATAATGGAGGTGTATTTGTTTTCTTCTGTTTTGTTTTGTCTTTTTGAGACAGAGTCTCACTCTGTCACCCAGGCTGGGGTGCAGTGGCATGATTTGGCTCACTGCAGCCTCTGCCTTCCAGGCAGAGGAAGTCATCCTCCTGCCTGAGCCTCCTGAGCAGCTGGGACTACAGGCATGCACCACTATCCCTAGCTAATTTTTATTTTTGTATTAGAGACAAGGTTTCGCCATGTTGCTCAGGCTGGTCTTGAACTCCTGGACTCAAGTGATTTGCCCACCTTGACCTCTGATGCTGGGGGGCCTGAAATGCTGCAATTATACCACTGCACCTGGCCAGTGAAGGCATAGTTAATGTAGGCAGCCTGCTGTCTCTTGGATTAGTAGAGAGAAGACAGGTGAAGACAGACAACTGTTCTGTTTGCTTGTGTTTGATGAATCTGTGTACCAGGACAGCCTGGTAGTGGTGGCTGGCATCCTGTAGGGTCCCCTACAGGTTTGCAGCCTAAGCCTGAGTTTCTTTCAAAACTCCGTGAGACTTGGGAGGTCCCCAGAAATCTCTGAGGGGGAAATCTCATGTTTCCTTACGCTTCCCTGTCAGCTGTCATGGATTGTCTGGAGATAATTTATAATCACAAATCAGAAATTTGTTGTAGCCTTATAGTAAACTTTGTGAAATTGCTAGGTTTTTTTTGTTGTGTTTAATATTTCTATATTGAAAATGTTATCTCCAGGCCAAGCATGGTCAAAGTATATTTTAAAAAGGCCAGGCTCAGTGGCTCACGCTTATAATTGTTGCACTTTGGGAGGCCAAGGCAGGTAGATCACAAGGTCAGGAGTTTGACACCAGCCCGGCTAACAAAGTGAAACCCCATCTGTACTAAAAATACAAAAATTAGCTGGGCTTGGTGGCAAGCGCCTATAATCCCAGCTACTTGGGAGGCTGAGGGAGGCAGGAGAATCTCTTGAACCCAGGAGATGGAGGTTGCAGTGAGCTGAAATTGCACGACTGCACTCCAGCCTGGGTGACAGAGAGCTAGAATGTGTCTCAAAAAAGAAAAGAAAATGGTATCTGACAAAGAGGATGTGCTAAGCCGGGTTCTTGGCCTGGAGTCTGTGAATTCCAAGGGATCAATGGGTGGGCTTTGGGGAAGTCTGTGAATCTCAAGCTTGCCTGTGCGTGGGGGTTTATGCATTTGTCTGGTCTAAGTCATTCCATATTGCAAAGACATCCATGAGCCACGGAAGATTAACGAACAGAATGACTGAACAGTCTGTACATAAACCTAGACCAGAGTCTCCCTGTTGACTTGGGGTGTTTGCATGAGGACAGCCCTTATTACTTTCCTGCCCACCCAAATCCTTCTTGCAGTTAGTCCTATGACCTGCTGGGTTCCCAGAAGTATGTGGGTTTGCCAGTTCTGACCAGTGCTCAGCTGCCTGGAGCTTGACCCTGAGCAACTCTGCACTGGTTGGTTGGTTTGCAGAGAACATTCTTCAGCACTCACAGATGTCTGTACTCCAGGGCCAGCCGGCAGGGACCCAGGTGAAAAGTAGGGATGCCTCAAGGAACTCACGCCCACTCCAGAAGGTACCTCAGAGTCCCTGTCCTATCAGTCCAGGGTCCTTGGCCTTATTGTAGAACGGAAAGATACGTATTATAAATAGACTTTACTAATCCTGTGGGCTTGTAAATATCTACAGCTGGATTTTCTGTGAATCTAATGAGTTTTTGTTGTTGTTGTTATTGTTGCAATAGGAAGCCGTCAGGGAACTTGAAAGCCTTTTGTCTCAGAGAATTTATTGTCCTGACAGCAGAGGCCGATGGTGGGATCGACTGGCTCTTAACCTACACCAGCACTTGAAGCGCCTGGAACCGGTACTCAGTAACAAAACATGCCTGACCCTCCTTTTTATTTGCAGTCAATTTTTAAACTGTGGCAAACTTAAATGCCTTAAAGTCTCCATGTAATTAGAACATGTATCTTTTGTTAATTCTTCTTTTGTCTGTGTTCTTCTGACCCCAAAAGAATACCAGGGATGCCAGCACAGCCTCAACATAGAGACCAGAAGCTTTTGTCTTCACTGATGAGCGAGATGGGCTGGCTGTGTACTCTGTGCTGGGATTTAGGAATCAGGATCTAGGAATTAAGGGAGAGTCAGGTGACTCACCCTTCAGCAGGTACCTTCAGGGAAGGTGTTTTGGAAATGGTGACTGTTCATTTGTGGGACAGGGTCTCTAGGTAGAAAGACTGGCAGGAAGGGGTTCCTTGCCTTATCTTACTGCAGGGCCTTCATCAGTGACTTTGTATTTCTGCGAGGTGTTTTGCTCTGCCATTGGGAAGCGCTATTTGACCTTGAGCAGGCACCAGTGCTCCCTGTGGTGGTGATCTTGAGGGACTTGGAAGCACAGGGATTCTGTGGCTGCCACAGCCAGGCAGGGTGAGGCGGCAGAGGCTGGGCCTCTGGGCTAGGCGCAACAGTGGTTCTTTGTGTGGCCGCCAGCAGGCCCCTCCCTGTCTCTCTTTCAGCCTTGCATTGGAGCTGAATGGAGAGGACTGTGCCTCTGGGGGCTTTTGGTTTTTTCAGTGGTCCATTAAGTGAATCAGGGTGATGTAGGGGTGGAAAGAAATGACCACAGGATAGGAAATAGAACATCTTGTTTTTACTGCCGTCAGCTGAAAAAGTGCCTTGTTACCTAAGTATCAGGGAAAGAGCCAGTAAAGCTATTTCCTCTCGTGGAGGAGGGCATGGGGCTTCCTTACCACTCAGTGTTTACTGAGGCTGAAATAGCAGGAGAAAGCATCTGGTAGCCCAGAACCAAATACAGAAGGAGAACTCTTGTGTTTCTGTGGCTTTCTTTCAGTGAAATCAAAGTTCAAGAGAGTTCCTAGTTCTGCTAGTGGGTGGACAAGCCACTGGGCTGATTTTTGAGCCTGGAGCTAAGCCTAGTCCCTCCAAACCTTTTCCCAGAGGTCTTACTGGCCACACTCCCAGCTCTTGTTATTTCGTTAGTTTCTTTCATCTGTACCTCAGTCTCCAGGGAAGGGATCTCCTAGCTGAGTGCTTGCTCCTGCAAAGTGCCCTGCAGCCAGCCCAGGCCTGGCCAGGGCAGAGGTGGAGCCAGCTGGGCCTCTCTCTCTGAGGCACCATCTTCTGCCAGTGAACAGGGTGCACTTCAGAGTCTCATTCTCCTGTCCTTTCCTTCCGGCCACTCAACTCCTGATGGCCTGAGCTTTCATTGATTTTCAATTTCTTCGTTTTTATTTTTTCTTTCACTTTTTATTTTTCTATTGTGGTAAAACAAGTTTAATATCCCTAAAATTTGGCATTTTAGTAATTTTTAGGCATACAGTTCAGTGGCATTAATGGTACTCGCAATGTTTTGTGACCACTGCCACTCTCACTACTCCAGACAGAAAGTCGGCAACCATTAGGTGACAACGCCCCGTTTCCCATCCCCCGGTCCTGGCCACCTCTCATCTACTTTCTGTGTGTAAATGTGCCTGATCATTTCAGTGGAACCCGACGATATGTGTGGTTCTGTGTCTGGTCTATTTTGCTCATCATCATGTTTCTGAGCTTCGCTTGTATCACGGCACAGGTCAGGACTCTGCTCCTTTTCCAGGCTGAACACACTTCCACTGTAGCACCCACCACATTTTCCTAGGTACTCATCGGTCCCTGGACACGGGTTCCTCCCCGTCGGCCTTTTTGAAGAGTGCTGCATGAACCTCTGCTTTTGTCCCTGCTTTCAGTTCTTTTGGGAAATACCTGAGAGTGGAATTGCTGGGTCCTGTGGTGACTCTGCATGGAGGTTTTTGAGGAGCAGCTGAACTTTCTTCACAGTTGTTTACACCAGTCTCACATTCCCACCGGCAGTCTGTGAGGGTTCTGGTTTCTCTACCTCCTTGCCAGCACTTATTTTCCATGTTTCTGATTATAGTCATCCTAGTAAGTGTGAAGTGGTATCTCCTTGTGGCTTTCTGTATTTCTGTTTATTTGTCCGACTCTGAATCACCTTGGGAAATACTTGTAACTCCTCTAAACCTTAGGTTCCTGTCCCTGTAAATAAGGAATCTGAAGCCACTCCACGGTTCCTGACTGCACATGAGATTAACCTGGAGCTCTGATGTGGCCACACACCTGGGCTCCTGCTCTGGAGGTTCTCATTGTGTGGATCCGGGGTGGGACACATGTTTTCTTTCAAAGCTGCCTAGGTGATGTCCTGAGAACCACCGAGCCAAGCTTTCCTGTAAAGTCAGGCATCCCTGAAGTTCACGCCCTTTGTGAGGGGCAGCTGCTGGGATCCGCTGTCCACCTGGATCACGGCCCAGTCACGCTCCAGCATGTTGACTGTGAAGGCTATGCTTGCCATGTGCATTGAAAGCATCCGAATGAGATCTAAAGAAACAGCCTGATTTTCTAGAAGTGCTGTTTGCTCATTTGCTAATCAGCAAAATTCAATAATAGTGGGGTTTTCCGTCATAGAACAGAGGGAAGCTGCCATGGGGTCTTTTAGGAGGCTGATGTGTGACCACACTCTTTGCCAGGCTATCAAGTGCATCACAGAGGGGCTGGCAGATCCGGAAGTCAGAACAGGACACCGCCTTTCCCTGTATCAGCGAGCCGTGCGCCTGCGAGAGTCTCCGAGCTGTAAAAAGTACAAACACCTCTTGCAGCAGCTCCCAGAAATGGCTGTGCAAGATGTGAAACACGTGAGGAAAGAGCCTTTGGGTGCTTTGGACTTAGACGTGTGTACCTGTTTTTTTGGGACTGAAGCAACCTAAGAGCTGTTTTTAGTGTGTGTTTCTTTTAGACTTGGAATAATCTAAAGCTTGTTTTGGATGGCTGTGTGGCCATTGCAGCCAGTCTCCCCCTAATGCCCTCCTCCCTGAGGAGCCCAAGCTGCTTGGTGTGGTAACACCTGGGTTGAGTGACAAATCTCCTGAATGGGGCCTCTCAGCATCTGCCAGTTTCATTTACTTGTCAGGGCCCTGGAGAGCAGTTCTGGTGGTTGAGTCTCTCCCAGGGTGAGGCCAGTGAGCTGCTGCATCCCTGCAGGCAGGCGAGTGTGAGCCCCGCGCTGTGCCCTCTGATAAATGACTGGCTTTGTGGTTAAGGAGGTCGATCTTCAGGATGCTACAGGCAGGTTTTCAGGGACTTTCGCTGACCTGAGGCTAATAGATGTTGTTCTGCTGCTGTTTCAGGTGACCATCACGGGCAGGCTGTGCCCACAGCATGGGATGGGCAAGTCTGTGTTTGTGATGGAGGCCGGGGAGACTGCTGACCCCACCACAGTCCTGTGTTCCGTGGAGGAGCTGGCACTGGCCCATTACAGACGCAACGGCTTTGACCAGGGTAACTGAGCAGCCTTTCTCTCGTGACACCCAACCCCCATGTGGCTAAGCAGCAGCACTGGATGGGCTGTAGTGGTGGGCTGCTGTCTTCTGTCCTCTGCAGGCTGGGGGATTCTTCTTCCCATTCTTCCCCTTATCAATGATAAGGAGTAGGACAGGGATAGTTGTCCTGGCTCTAATCTTTTTTATTTTTTAAAAACTCCTTGTTGTGGAAGATACTGCGCAAGTCTCTGTACAAAAGTCGGGGGGACAGTGTACTCAGCCCCACAACCTACCCACTTCCATCCAGTCTTCCTGCTGTTTTCTCCTGCCCCTTCCCTGGGATTTTAGAAGCTGACCCCAGATGTCGTCTTGGGGCCCTGCCAGCAGCCCCTGTGAGTCACTTCCAGGAACACCCACTGAGCCCTCCTGTCCTCATGTCTGGGCAGGACTCTCCCTAGTGCCTGGGCTGTGGGGTTCCCAGTGTTAAAAACACTCTGATATCTTCAAATGCGTGAAAATCAGGACATGATGTCAGTATTCCCTGAGTGTTCAGAAGATAAACAAGTACTATAGAAAGACAACTACAAGACAGGAGTTTATAAAGTGCAGGTTTTTCTGATGAGTGTTGCGATTCATCTACATAATATCTTTATTACTTACAGGGAAGGGTGATGCTATTGGGGAAGAAGTGCAAACGTCAGCGAAGACAGAGAGAGACAGTAGGCCTGAAAAGGTTAGAAACAGAAGAGTAGAATGCACATTCAAGGCCCCAGATATGTTTCAGGAGACGTGGAAACTGGGCACTCGCTGGAGGAGGAAGCAGGCTGGGAGCTAGGAGCCCTAAGTGCTTTTGGTTGAGCCGTGAGCCTGAAAAACACACAGTTCCTTTCCCAGAATAGAAGCGATTTCCCCTGGTTAAAATCGATGCAGTGAAACTGAGCTGAACTCTGGCTGCCAGGCTTTATGCCACAGGGAATTTTGTGTCAGAGCAGTCTCAGCCTCTTCTGGGAGGCGATTTCTGAATTACTCAGAAGGACTGCACCAAAAATGATTTCACTTATAAAAAATGCACAGCATGGACCACTTGGGAGTTAAGGAATGAACCAGGCGTGGTAGGTTACATTTGTAATCCCAGCACTTCGGGAGGCTGAGGCAGGAGGATCACATGAACTCTGAAGGCAGAAGAGGTGGGAGGATCTCTTGACCCCAGAAAGTCAAGACTGCGGTGAGCCAAGACTGCCACTGCACTCCAGCCTGGGTGACAGAGTGAGACCCTATCTCAAAACAAAACAAAAAATAGAAAAAGAGAAAAAAGGGGTTCAGAAATGATCTGGCCTCCATATTCCTGCCTGATCATCAGTGTATACAGCAGGACCGAAAGCTGGCTGGAAGTCAGGTCCTAGCCTAATTCCTGGCTAGGTAAGAGTGTGAAGTGTTCTAGGAAAAAATGTCCTCCTGGAAGACTTGGCAACAGCCAGGAATCCTGAGCGAATCACTGGCCTTTTGAATCCCTGAGACGGGCTGCAGGGATGAGGGGCTAAAACTGAGAGGAAGACAGGACAGAGAGCAGCACAGCCTTAGTGCAGGACAGAGGTGACCCTGACAGGCATGATGGGCTGTGGCCGCCTGGTTTCTGCTCTCACAGCGCCCTCCAACCCTGCTCACTGTGGTCTCGTGCGGATGGGCTGGGGCCTGTACATGTAAGGCTGGGACCAGCCAGAGGACCTGGCATGTCAGGATGCGGGTCTGGTGGTCGGTACCTTCTCTGGCCAGTGTAGTCTTGTGGGGAGAGGTGTCCATATGGCCTCCTACCCTGTCAGGCGTGCTGATGTGCAGAGCAGCACAGGCTTGGAGGGCAGCTGGATGAGCTGGGGCTTGCTCAGGGTCACAGGTCTGTGTGTTGTGCCAAGGTCCAGCCCTTTATCCCACACTGCCTCTGACTCTGTGACCTCAGTACCTGACTTCCATCTCTCGGGTGGTCTTCCAATCAGTAAAACATTTGTGTGATATGAGGAGGAGGACTGAAGTGGGTGGCCTTTTAAGGCCAGAGGTCTCTGTGAAAGCCTTGGCTATTGGAAGCACTGGGCTAGGGCAGTGTAGTGCCCGGGGGCATGATGTACATCAGAGCAGTACCTGCTGAGGCCAGGAATGGAGGAGGCCCTTTTAGGGAAGTGTTTCTTCAAGAGTGGCTCAGGGACCTCCTGTGCTAGGGCCCACACAGGGATTCTGTGCTTGCCCTACCCTGCTAAGTCCCAGCCTCTGGAGCCTGAGGAGGAATCTGCCTATTTTTCTTTTAAATATGTTTCTTAAGTTGTTCACTAAAGTTTGTGAACCACTGCTTTGTGGCTTTGAGATGTTCATTTAAATTTTTCTATGATTGCTAAGATTTTTGCCCTTAAGGTGCTGTATATAAACAATATACTGCACAAAATGAGCTAGGAATGGCATGAAAACAGCATTTGCTTCTGAATCTAAACTATTTGTTATTTCTTGAAATTGAGTGTGCAGTGGGTTACGGTGGTGTTTGGAAGAAGTAGACTTTTTTCCACTTGTGTGACCTTGTCTTAGGGATTCATGGTGAAGGCTCTACCTTCAGCACCCTGTATGGCCTCCTCCTGTGGGACATCATCTTCATGGACGGGATTCCGGATGTCTTCAGAAATGCCTGTCAGGTACTCCAGTGCCCCTGCCCCACGAGGAGGTCCTTCTGCGCACATCCGTGGCTCTCGCCCACCTGGGCACCGTGTGTCCACCACTAGCAGAAACCATCTCTGTTATGGTCTTTTGGGTCATCCACAGGTCAAGGTGATAACTTTTATTTTAAAAATCCAATTAATAGAATTTAAGATGCAAGTATATGAAGTTCTAGACTTTAATTTAGCCTTCACCTTACATTTACACCTTTCATATAAAGTGCCTTCAGTGCCAGCCCTCCCCAGCCCCTGCCATGTCGTAGGCACTGCCAAGGATCTCACAGACATGGGCACATGTACCTGCTAAGAGGTCCACCCAGCGAAGCAAAAAGCTGTTTTTGCAAATTATTACTCTAAAAAACACGTTTAATAAATTGCTTTTAGATAATTTTTACATGTCTTTTGAAAGAGAATGCATCAGTCAGTTGGCTAGTTTCCTAGTTTTGTAGGTCCTGACTAGTCGTCGGGTTCACTTTTCTCTGCAGGCACAGTATGACAGCTTGCTTTCTCTGTGACACAGGCTTTCCCCCTGGACTTGTGCACAGACAGCTTCTTCACAAGCAGAGGCCCGGCCCTTGAGGCCAGGCTGCAGCTGATTCACGATGCCCCCGTGGAGAGCCTGCGCGCCTGGGTGGCAGCCACGTGGCAGGACCAGGAAGGCAGAGTGGCTTCCCTTGTCAGCTGGGATCGCTTCACGTCTCTTGAGCAAGCTCAGGTAATGGTTCAACTGCACAGCAGGATTTGCTCTGAAAGTAACACCTCCCCAGCGCTGTCTTTTCAGCAACTTTATCAAAATACCTATGTGTATATGTAAATACATGTATGTGTGTGCATGTATATATATAGAATCCCGTCCCCCTAGCCCTGATGCCATTGTTAGTGATGGAAACACGCTAGGGTGTTAGAAAAGCCCCAGCTGTGCCTTTGCCATCCCTGAGCTGAAAGCTTTCTTTTGCTTGCCCTGTGGCTGAGGCAGGGAGGATACCTAGTGTGTTACTTCAACTGCTGGCCTCTGTGAGTCTGCGCTGTCATGATCCTGAGTGGGTCCTCCGCATCCCTCTTCCTCAGCGATCCCCAGCATAGCCACACTGGCAGGAGCCTGGAAACTGATCATAGGACCAGTCTTCTACCACTTACCAGTGGCTGCAGCCCCGGCACAAGCAGCAGAAGTGCGCGTGATGGGCCTGGGGTCCATGTGCACTCAATTACAGTTTCCTCCGTCTTGTGATCCCTGGAGCCTATTTCCGTTCTCTGTCACAAGGGAAGGGACTAACTGTCTCGTGTTTTGTGTTCAGGATCTCGTCTCCTGCCTGGGGGGCCGTGTGCTCAGTGGTGTGTGCCGGCGCCTGGCTGCTGACTTTCGACATTGCCGAGGGGGCCTCCCTGACCTGGTGGTGTGGAACACCCCGAGCCATCGCTGTAAGGTCAGTTGAGCCAGAATGGAAAGTGTGTGGGTAACCTTATTAGCAGCTGAATCAGAGCCTGCAAATAGGCATTTTTTGAGTGGTTGTTGGCAAGACTATTCCTTGAGAGCTTTGGGTTGAGGGCCTGGGTTCCTGTGGGCCTCTCCCCTGAGACTGGCTTCATCAGAGCAGGTGGGTGAGAGAAGCCCCAGGGTGAGCAAGACAGGGCTCCATCTCTTATGACTTGATGTGGAAGTGACGTTCCAGCACTCCTGCTGTATTCTGTGGTTACAAATGAGTCTCTAGTCCAGCTGACACTCAAAGGGATGGGGTCAGACAGGGCATGGACACCAGGAGCTATTTTAGAAGCTTACTGATAATGGTACATTTTAAAATGACTTAAAGAGTGAAATGAATTGTTTGTAACTCAGAGGATAAGTGCTTGTGGAGACGGATACCCCATTCCCCTTGATGTGCTTAGTTCAACATTGCATGCCTGTGTCAGAACATCTTATGTACCCCATAAATATATACACCTACTATGTACCCACAAAAATGTTTTTAAAAAGCTCACTGAGAGCGAACACTTCCTTGAATGCTGTCCACTAGCCCAGCCTTGCTGCCCATCACTGGTGATTTGTTTTCTCATTATTGAGTTTTGAGATAACAAAATTATATACTCTGAATACAAGTCGTTTATCAGTTACATTTCATCCCATCTGGGGCTTGTCTTTTCATTTTCTTAATAGTGTCTTTTGAAGAGCAGAGGTTTTAAAGTTTGGCAAAATCCAACTTATTTGTTCTCTAGTGGTTCAGGCTTTTGATGTCACATGTCATAACTACTTGCCTAATCAAAGGTCACAGAGAGTTTCTCCTTGGTTTTCTTCTAGAAGTGTTATAGTTCTAGGTTTTACATTTAGTTTTATGATCATTTGAGACGCTGTTTGTATACAGTGAGGCGTGGACTGGAATTCATTTGTGGCATGTGGGTATCCACTTGTTCTGCTCCATGTGTTGAGAAGACCACGCTTCCTCCACTGAATTGCCTCTGTATCCTTGTCAAAAATCAGTGAAGCATATATACGTGGGTCTGTTTCTGGAGACTCTTCAGTTCCACTGTCTGTCTGTATCTCTTGGTTATTGTAGCTTTACATAAATCTTGGAGTCAGGTAGTATAAGTCTTCTAATGACTCCTTTTTCATGGTTGTTTCGGCTCTTTTGCATATTTATTTGAATTATAAAATAGAATTTTAAATTTCCAAGAAGAAAAAAAGCCAGCTGAGATTTTAATTGGTTCCTTTGAATCTGCAGACCAATCAGAGAAGAACTGGTATGTTAACAGTATCAAGTATTTTGATAGTCAAACATAGTGTATATCCCCATTTACTTAGATTTTCCTTATTTTGGCAGTGTTTTGAGTTTTCAGTGTAGAGGTCTTGCATATCTTTTGTCAGATTGATCCCTAAGTACTTTGTATTTTTTTTATGCTAAACAGTATCGTTTTTAGAAGTTCTAATTTCCAGTTGTTTGCTGCTCTGTAGAAATACGGTTGACTGTGTATATTGATCTTATATTCTGCAAACTTGGTACACTTACTTATTTGTTCTTGGAGCTTTTTTGGTATATTTCCTTGGATTTTCTACATTGATAATCAGATTGTCTGCTTAAACAATTGTACTTCTTCCTTTCCTCCAGGAAAGCATAGGCTGTAAATGGTGAGACTGGACACCTGTGCCTTGTTCCCCATCTTGGGGGGGAAAGTAATTAGTTTTCCATTATTGAGTATCATGTTAGATGGAGATGTTTTTCAGATATCTTTTATTATATTAAGGAGCTTCCCTGTACATCCAGGTTTTCTGGGAGTTTTTATCAGGCATTGATGTGGGATTTTGTCAAATACTTCTTAAAAAAATCTAGTGACATTATGCGATTTTCCTCTTGAGTACACTTATTAATCATGTGATTCATGTTGGTTTTTGAAACTTAAACCTACCTAGCATTTCTCTGGTAAATCTCACTTGGTCATGATGTATTATCCTTTTTCTATAATGTTGGGAGTTGATTTTGTAAAATATTAAGAATTTTTGCATATAAGTTCATGAAGGATACTGATCTGTAGTTTTCTTGTAATCTCTTTGTTGGGTTTTGGTTTCAGAGTCATACCAGCCTCAGAATGGGATGGAATAGTTTGTGTGGAATAAGTATTATTCCCTAAACATTTGATAGAATTCCCCAGTGAAGCAGTATGGGGCTGGAGATTTTTAGGGGAGGAAAATTAAAAACTATAAATTTCTTTTTAAACAACATAATGCTGTTCATATTATGCTGCTTCTTGATTGAGCTTTGGTAGTTTGTGTCTTTCAAGGAATTTGTCCATTTAAATATTGGCTTAAAGTTGTTCATATTTGTTTTTCTCTTCTTTTTTTTTTTGAGACAGAGTCTCACTGTGTCACCCAGGCCGGAGTGCAGTAGCCTCACTGCAACCTCCACCTCCTGGGTTCAAGTGATTCTTGTGCCTTAGACTCCCTAGTAGCTGGGATTTACAGCTGTGCACCACCATGCCTGGGTAATTTTGTGTGTGTGTGTGTTTTAGTAGAGATGAGGTTTTGTCATGTTGGCCAGGCTGGTCTTGAACTACTGGCTTCAGGTGATCCACCTGCCTCAGCATCCCAAAGTGCTGGGATTACAGGGGTGAGCCACCCGCCCAACCCTGTATTTGTTTCTTAATGCATTTTAATATCTGTAAACTCTATCATGCTTTTGTTCCTGATATTGGTAATTTGTGTCTTTTCTCTTTTTTTCTTGATGAGTCTGGCAGGAGGTTTATCAATTTTCCTGATTTTCTCAAAGAATCAGCTTTTGATTTCATTTGTTCTTTTGTCCCCTAGTTTTTTAAGGTAGAAGCTATGGTTATTGCTTTGAGACCTCCTTTTCTAATAGTTTGCTAGTGCTCCAAATTTGCCTCTCAGTGCTGCTTTATCTGAACCTCGCAAATTTAATATGTTTTCATTTTCATTCAGTTCACCCCTTCTGATTTCCCTTTGGACTCTTCTTTGATCCTCAGCTTATTTACAAGTCAATCATTTACATTCCCAAACACTTAAGAGATTTGCAGGTATCTTTCTGCTATTGATTTGTAATTTAACTCCATTGTAGTCAGAGGACATATTTTGTGTGACCTGAATCCTATTAAATTTATTGAGACTTGTTTTATGGTCCAGAATATGGTTTTCCCTGGTGAATATTCTGTTTGTACTTGAAAAGAATGTGTTCAGCATTTGTTGTGGGCAGTATTTTTAAATGTCAGTCAGGTCAAGTTGCTTGATAGTGTTGTTTAAGTTGTCTGTCCTTACTGATTTCTTATTTACTTGTTCTATAAATTATTGAGAAGAATATTGACAATCTGATTAAAACCGTGGATTCATTTATTTCTTTATTTCTATTTTTTGAGACAGAGTCTCATGTCACCTAGGTTGGAGTGTAGTGGTGGTGTGATCTTGGATCACTGCAGCCTTGACCTCCCAGGCTCAAGCAATTCTTCTGCCTCAGCCTCTTGAGTAGCCAGAACTACAGGCATGCACCATCATGCCCAGCTGATTTTTAAAAGTTTTTTGTAGAGATGGGGTTCCACAATGTTGCCCAGGCTGGTCTCAAACTCCTGGGCTCCTGGCCTCCCAAAGTGGTGGGAGCATTCTGCGCCTGGCCGATTTGTGTATTCCTTCTCGCATTTCTATCAATATTTTATTCAAGTATTTTGAAGGTCTATTATAAGATGCATTAACTTTTAGGACTGGCATGTCCTCTTGATGACCCCCCCCCCCTTTATTCCTGATGATCTTTGCTCTGAAATCAACTTTGCCCAATACTGTTAACATGTAGGCACTTCAGCCTCCTCTTGGTTAGTGTTAACATGATACATTTTTCTGTTCTTTTACTTTGACCTGTTTTATCTTGTTTTTAACGTGGGTTATAGGCATCTCTCTTAGAGGCATCATAGAGTTGGGTCTTACTTTTGAATCCAACTTAACTTCTGCCTTTTAATGGGGTGTTTGGAACATTTACATTTAATGTGGTTATTCATATCCTTAGCTTTAAATCCTGAAACCGTCTTTTCCTTGAGTAGCTGGGACCACAGGCGCACACCACCATACCTGGCTAATTTTGTAGTTTTGTATTTTTTAGAGAGAGATGGGATTCCACCATGTTGTCCAGGCTGATCTTGAATTCCTGGGCTCAAGCAGTCCACCTGCCAGGGTCTCTCTAAGTGCTGGGATTGCAGGTGTGAGCCACAGTGCCTGGCCCTGCCTTATTTTTAAAGATTGCATTTTATAGCTTTGTTGGCTTGTTAACTGTAACTGTTCATTGTGTGTAAGTGGTGGCATTAATATGTACAGTATATATCTTAAACTTAGCTACCCTTCAAGTGATCCACATTTTAATACAGAGTAAAAAGAACCTTTCAGTAATATCTTCCCTCCTAGCCTTTGTGGTATTTTCATATGTTTTACTTCTGTGTGTTGGACATTCTGTAACATATTCTTTTTGCTTTCTACCATTGATTAGTAAGAGTCTCTATGTACTCATGCAGATAGCATTTCCAGTGCTTTTTTGTATAGATCCAGATTTCTGTGTGATCTTACTCTCCTGCTTGCAGGATTTCCTTTCATGCCTGTAATCCCAGCACTTTGTGAGGCCGAGGTGGGTAGACACTTGGGCTCAGGAGTTGGAGAACAGCTTGGGCAACACAGTGAAACCACATCTCTACAAAACAATAAAGAAATTAGCCAGGTGTGGTGGTGTGCATTGGTAGTCCCAGCTACTTGGGAGGCTGAGGTGGGAGAATTGCTTGAGCCTGGGAGGTCAAGGCTGCAGTGAACCGAGATCATACCAATAATAGAATTAAGACCTTGTCTCAAAAAAAAAAATTTCCTTTAACATTTCTTGAAGTTCTGCTGGTAACGAATTACAGTAGTTAGCCCTCTGTTTCCATGGTTTCTGCTTCTGTAGATATAACCAACCATGGATTGAAAATAACTGGAAAAAAGAAAAACAATAAAAAGTAACTACAACAATAAATAAAAATACAGCATAACAACTATTTTCATAGCATTTATATTGTATTAGGTATTATAAATAATCTAGAGTTGATTTAAAATATATGAAAAGATGTGCATAGAATATGAAAATGCTGTGCCATTTTATACCAGGGACTTGACCATGTGGATTTTGGATTCAGAGGAGTTCTTTGAATCAGTCCTCCATGGATACTGAGGAATGACTGTATTTAGTTTTTGTATGTCTTAGTCTATATTTCACCTTTGTTTTGGAAAGATATTTTCTCTGGGCAAAGAATTCTATGTTGACTAATATTTTTAAAGTACTGAAAAATATCTGTCTACTATATTTAGACTAATATTAGTCTAACTAGCATGGTTTCCAATGAAAAAACCTTTTTTTCCTCTGGCATTAAAAAATTCCGGCTGCTGAAATGGAGAGAAAAAAAAGCAGAGGAGTTGCAATCCTAATCTCTGATAAAACGGACGTTAAACCAACAGAACAAAAAGACAAAGAAGGGTATTACATAATGGTAAAAGGATCAATGCAACAAGAAGAGCTAACGATCCTAAATATATATGCGCCCAATACAGAAGCATCCAGATACATAAAGCAAGTTTTTTTGTTTTTTTGAGACGGAGTTTCACTGTTGTTACCCAGACTGGAGTGCAATGGCACGATCTTGGCTCACTGCAACCTCTGCCTTCTGGGTTCAGGCAATTCTCCTGCCTCAGCCTCCTGAGTAGCTGGGACTACAGGCACGCACCACCATGCCCAGCTAATTTTTGCATTTTTAGTAGAGACGGGGTTTCACCTTGTTGACCAGGATGGTCTCGATCTCTTGACCTCGTGATCCATCCGCCTCGGCCTCCCAAAGTGCTGGGATTACAGGCGTGAGCCACCGCGCCCGGCCATAAAGCAAGTTCTTAACGACCTACTAATAGTGGGAGAGTTTAACACTCCACTGTCAATATTAGACAGATCAATGAGACAAAGAATCAACAAGGATATCCAGGACTTGAATGCAGATGTAGACCAAGCAGATCTAACAGACATCTACAGAACTCTCCACACCAAATCCACAGAATATAATTCTTCTCAGCACCATATCGCACTTACTCTAAAACTGACCACATAATTGGAAATAAAGCACTCCTCAGCAAATGCAAAAGAACAGAAATCATAACAACCAGTCTCTCAGACCACAGAGCAATCAAATTAGAACTCAGGATTAAGAAACATACAACTAAATGGAAACTGAACAACTGGCATCTGAATGATGACTGGATAAACAATGAAATGAAGGCAGAAATAAACATGCTCTTTGAAACCAATGAGAATGAAGACATAATGTACCACAGTCTCTGGGACACATTTAAAGCCGTGTCTAGTGGGAAATTTATAGCACTAAATGCCCACGAGAAGCAAGAAAAGATCAAACATCGATACCCTATCATCAAAATTGAAAGAGCTAGAAGAGCAAGATCCAAAAATGTCAAAAGCAAGCAGAAGACAAGAAATAACTAAGAACAGAGCAGAATGAAAAGAGGTAAGAGACACAAAAAACCCTACAAGAAAATCAACAAATCCAAGAACTGTTTTTTTGAAAAGATCAACAAAATAGACTGCTAGCCAGCTTAATAAAAAGGGAAAGAATCAGATACAATAAAAAATGATAAAGGGGATATCACTACCAATTCCTCAGAAATATAAACTACCATCAGAGATTACTACAGACAACTCTGCACCTAAACCAGTACACCTGGAAGAAATGGATAAATTCCTGGACACTTGCACCCTCCCAAGCCTAAACCAGGAAGAAGCTGAAACCCTGGATAGACCAGTAGACAAGGGCTGAAGTTGAGGCAGCAATTAATAGCCTCCAACCAAAAAAAAGTCCAGGTCCAGGTGGGTTCATAGCTGAATTCTACCAGACGTACAAAGAGGAGCTGGTACCACACCTTCTGAAACTATTCCAACAATCCAAAAAGAGGGAATCCTTCCCAAATCATTTTATAAGACCAACATCATCCTGATACCAAAACCCGGGAGAGACTCAACAAAAAAAGAAAACTTCAGGCCAATATCCATAATCAACATAGCTGCAGAAATCTTCAATAAAATACCGGCAACCGATTTTAACAGCACATCAAAAAGTTTATCTACCATGATCAAGTAGGCTTCATCTGGGGGATACAAGGCTGGTTCATCATACGCAAGTCTATAAATGTAATCCACCATATAAACGGAACCAAAGAGAAAAACCACGATTATCTCAATGTATGCAGAGAAGGCCTTCAACAAAATTCAACAGCCCTTTATGCTAAAAAGTCTCAAGAAACTAGGTATTGATGGAATGTATCTCAAAATAATAAAAGCTATTTACGAGAAACCCACAGCCAGTATCATGCTGAACGGGCAAAAACTGGAAGCATTCCCTTTGAAATCCGGCACTAGACAAGGATGCCCTCTCTCACCACTCCTATTCAATATAGTACTGGAAGTTCTAGCCAGAGCAATCAGGCAAGAAAGGGTATTCAAACTAGGAAAGGAGGAAGTAAAATTGTCTCTGTTTGCAGATGACATGATTGAATATTTAGAAGACCCCATCATCTCAGCCCAAAATCTCCTTAAACTGATAAGCAACTTCAGCAAAGTCTCAGGATACAAAATGAATGTGCAGAAATCACAAGCATTCCTATACACCAAAAACAGACTAACAGAGAGCCAAATCAAGAGCGAACTGCCATTCACAATTGCTACAAAGAGAATAAAATACCTAGGAATACAACTAACAGAGGATATAAAGGACCTCTTCAAGGAGAACTACAGACCACTGCTCAAGGAAAAAGGATACAACAGATGGAAAAACATTCCATGCTTATGTTTAGAAAGAATCAATATTGTGAAAATGGCCATGCTGCCCAAAATAATATAATGATTCCATGCTATCCCCATCAAGCTACCTATGACCCTCTTCACAGAACTGTAAAAAATCACCTTAAACTTCATAGGGAACCAAAAGAGAGCCTGCATAGCCAAGACAATCCTAAGCAAAAAGAACAAAGCTGGAGGCATCATGCTACATGACTTCAAGCTGTACTACAAGGCTACAGTAATGAAAACAGCATGATACTGGTACCAAAACAGAGATATAGACCAATGGAACAGAACAGAGGCTTTGGAGGCAATGCCACACATCCACAACCATATGATCTTTGACAAACCTGACAAAAACAAGCAATGGGGAAAGGATTGACTATTTAATAAACGGTGTTGGGAAAACTGGCTAGCCATGTGCAAAAAGCTGAAACTGGACCCCTTCCTTACACCTTATACTAAAATTAACTCCAGAAGGATTAAAGATGTGAACATAAGACCTAACACCATAAAAACCCTGGAAGAAAACCTGGATAATACCATTCAAGACATAGGCACAGGCAAGGACTTAATGACTAAAACACCAAAAGCCAATGGCAGCAAAGGTCAAAATAGACAAATGGGATCTAACTAAACTCCAGAGCTTCTGTACAGCAAAGGAAACAATCATTAGAGTGAACTGGCAACCAACAGAATGGGAAAAAATTTTTGTAATCTACCCATCTGACAAAGGGCTAATATCCAGAATTTACAACAGATTTACAAGAAAAAAACAAAAAAACTCATTCAAAAGTGGGCATAGGATATGAACAGACACTTTCAAAAGAAGACATATATGAGGCCAAGAAATATATGAAAAATTCTCATCATCATTAGAGCATTAGGTCATTAGAGAAATGCAAATCAAAACCACATTGAGATACCATCTCACGCCAGTTAGAATGGCGATCATTAAAAAGTCTGGAGACAACAGATGCTGGAGAGGATGTGGAGAAATAGGAACGCTTTTACACTGCTGGTGGGAGTGTAAATTAGTTCAACCATTGTGGAAGACAGTGTGGCGATTCCTCAAGGACCTAGATATAGAAATTCCATTTGACTCAGTAATCCCATTACTGGGTATATATCCAAAGGACTATACATCATTCTATTATAAAGACACATTCACATGTATGTTCACCACAGCACTGTTTACAATAGCAAAGACCTGCAACCAACCCAAATGCCCATTGATAATAGACTGGACAATGAAAATGTGGCACATATACACCATGGAATACTATGCAGCCAAAAAAACGATGAGTTCGTGTCCTTTGTAGGAACATGGATCAAACATGGAACCATCATTCTCAGCAAACTGACAAAAGAACAGAAAACTGAACACCTCATATTCTCACTCATAGGCAGGTGTTGAACAGTGAGAACACATGGACACAGGGAGGGGAACATCACACACTGGGGCATGTTGGGGGGTTGGGGGCTGGGGGAGGGACAAGGAAGGGACAGGGGAGGGACTGCGGGGAGGTTGAGGAGGGATAACACTGGGAGAAATGCCTGATGTAGGTGATTCGGGGGCTGGAGACAGCAAAGCACCATGGCATGTGTGTACGTATGCAACAACCCTGCAAGATCTGCACATGTACCCCAGAACTTAAAGTACAATAATATATTAAAAAAAGCCAATATGGTAGACCTAAAGATATGTTTAGAAAAATGAAAATGAAAATAAAAATACATTCTTGCTGCTTTGACTGTATCCCCTCTATTGCTGATTATACAGGTCTGATATTTCCTAGGGTCCTGTTACATTTGGGGGCTGGGATTCACTGATTTTCTTGAATCCTTAAATTTATAGTTTTCTCCAAATCTGGAAAAACTTTGGCTGTTTTTTTCTTCTGTTCCTTTGGGGACTCTAATTAAATGTCTGTTAGGCTGCTGAATGCTGTATTTAAAATATGTTTTTTCTACACTTTAGGATAGTTTTTATTGTCTTCTACTAGTGTGCAGTGGACAACACACAATTGCTGCCATTATGAAGATGACATGTACATATTTTTATGTTATGAACGCCATGAAAGAAATGCTTAGGGAGGATCTACTTAGAGCTGTGACCTCTCAAGATGAGTTTAAGCTGAGCATTTAAAGGTAAGAGGTCAGGCATGCCAAGAACAGGGCGAAATGTCCCAGGCAGTGGGAACAGCAAGTACCAAGTGGAAGTGAGGGCCTTGGGTAGGGAAGAGACTGGTCATGGCAAGAAGTTGAGATCTAATTGAAAATGTAACAGGTAACTGGAAGGTTTTAAGTAGCAAAGTAAAACCCAGATGCCTTAAAACAATTTTTCGTTTGCTATACTAAGAATGCACTTAACTGTTCTTCTGTGAAGAACTGTGTAGTTTCTATAGAATAGAAACATTTCTGAATAAATTTCTTAGCTACAGATGGTCCTCAACTTGTGATAGAGATATGCCCTGATAAATCCTACACATCAACAGAAAAATTTAAGTTGAAAATGCGTTTAACATACTTATCCCCACCAAAACCTCATAGCTTAGCTCAGCTTACCTTCAATGTGCTCAGAACACATGCATCAGCCTACAGCTGGGCAGAATCATCAAGTTCTCTGCACACCGTAGAGTACTGGTTCCCCTCATGATCGTGTGGCTGACTGGGAGCTGTGCCTCACTGCTGCTGCCCAGCATCAAGTATCATACTGGGAAAAGATCAAAACTCAGCATGGTTTCTATTGAATGCGTCACTTTTGCACCATTTTAAAGTCAAAAAATCCTAAGGTGAACCACTCTAAGTGAAGGAGCATTTGTATATTTGTGTTACAAAGACAGTGAGAAAGCAGAAGAGCCATTTAAATCGTTGTCAGTGAAAAGTACAGTAACTTACTTTGGATGGCTTTTCAGTTTCAGTAGGATACTAACTTTTAAGAATCTCTCTTACAGCTGGTGGAAGTTAAAGGCCCCAGTGATCGCCTTTCACATAAGCAGATGATCTGGTTGGACGAACTGCAGAAGCTGGGGGCCGAAGTAGAAGTCTGCCATGTGGTTGCCGTTGGAGCAAAGAGCCAAAGCCTTAGCTAAAAGCTACGGAACTGGGTCATACACTGATGTAAGATTTTTATATAAAACATCATGTTTTAATTAATTTTGTTATTGTCCATTATAAACCTGATAGTTTGACTTGTCATCGTACAGTGTCAGTGTATCACAAAATAGTGTTTGCTTGAATAAACTCATTGATTCCACACATAGTAAGTAATGAGCTTTTTTTTTCCCCCTGAGACAGAGTCTCACTTTGTTGTCCAGGCTGGAGAGCAATGGTGTGATGTTGGCTCACTGCAACCTCTGCCTCCTGGGTTCAAGCAATTCTGCTGCCTCAGCCTCCCCAGTAGCTGGGACTACAGGTGTGCACCACCACACCTGGCTAATTTGTGTGTTTTTAGTAGAGATGGGCTTTTGCCTTGTTGGCCAGGCTGATCTTGAACTTCTGACCTCAAGTGATCCACCCACCTTGGCCTCCCAAAATATAGGGATTACAGGTGTGAGCCACCACACCCAGCCAGTAATGAACTTTTTAAAAGGGAAAAGCCTTGTTGACCATTTTTGGAGCTGGATGCAGTTATACGATTAGACATGCAAAAAGCTGGAAAACTCAAAAACAAGTGATGATTTGTACTTTCAGATTTTTTTGCAAAAAAGTAGCATAACCAACGTTTCCTTCAAGTAATAAATATGGGAAACCGAGAATCTTCAATTTTTCTTTACTGCCCTACACATTTAGCTGTTAAACTTTGTTTTATGATTACCTAAGGTGGTAGAAAGTTAAATTCCAATTTCTTTAGGAATTATTTAAAAACTGTCTTGAAGCTGTGTTAATTTAAGGTATCTAAATGCTTGTTCTACTGATCAGGCCCGGATCATGAAAGGAGTGAAGTCTTTATCCGAGGCAGTTGGCCCCCATTGTCCTTCTCCTTGGGACTATCCCTGACAACTCGATTGGGGTGTTTTCTCTGTTGACAGTACAGTCAAATCAGGGCTGCTCATTTGTGGGAGGGTCTCAGGCTGGGCAAGGGTGTGGTAGAAAGGTGATTTATCTATATGCCAGGCCCAGGAGTTAGGGAGTGTAATCCCAGTCTCTTAACTTGTTCTGAGGCCTTGTTGGGGGGAATATTACTCCTAGCTTTTATATTTATTGAATGGAAGGACCAGTTAGGGCACTGTCCATCAATATCCACATGGCTTTAACTGGAGCCACTTCTGAATTTCTGTTAAAAAAAGTTACTGATCACTACCTGTGATTAGAGGGCAGGCAGAAACGTCCCATGGATGACACAGAAGTACGGAATGGAGAAGACACCTTCACATCTTCCATCACCGTGTTCCTGCAGATGATTTCATACTGATAACGACAAACAGTTGCTGTGGAAATTTTATTAAGCAATCAATTTCCTTCACATTCATTACTTTTCAACAAGAAGATCTCACATCTTCCTGCTCATCCCACTTGAACTCAAGGCATCACTTTTAGGCACTAAGGTTTTCGTTTTCTCTGGAAATAAAGTTTTAACCACTTGGTTACTACCGCAGCAAACAGATTTTGCTGACGGATGTGAACAGCTTTCACCCTCTGTTAGTACAAATTAATATCCTTTCCTTCAATAAAGTTAAGACATGTTTCATTTCAAAATTGGTTTCCATCATAAAATGACAGCAAGAAACTGTACACCTTTACTTTCAATACTAGAAATTTCATCCAGCGCCTCAGCATCTGTGGGATGTTCCCCCACATGGGCTCTGCTGGTGCTGAGCTCTCTAGTGTGCTCTGCGCAGCCACCACGTGTCCCTCTGACGGCAGAAGCACTGAGCGGTTGCTTTAGCCTGGCCTGACTAAAGGCTGTCATGGTTGCTTTTCATATTATGCACAGTAAACTGTGGCACAATAATCATGATATAACAACTGTCCAGCAAAAATAAAACTCTCACTACATCTGGTTATCAGAAAAATAGGCATTTTTCTATTTTCAACCATTATTAATAGTACCTAATACTTTTAAACTTGTAAATTAACAGCAATAAAATACTACAGGAGTTAAAATACAGAAAGGTGAGGGAAGAAAATTACAGAGGGAAAAATGCTCAATCCAAACATTTAGTAGTAATAAAAAAGCAGCTAAATCAAAAAAGGAGAATTACAATTACACTGTCAATGGTAGGATACCCTGTGGTGTTATAAGGAGACTGGGTCTGGTTTCTAATCAAGGACTGTAAAAATGTTTAATAATTCTATTTGTATAAACTAAAAATAGCCCTTATTTTCTAGGCAACAAGTTGGCAAAAACCTTGGGTTTACCCATACATTTCTTAAGATATTTTCTAAGAACTCTTGTCCTGTTATATCCAGAGACAACATCAATTTTTAAAAGGCAAATAATTCAAATAGAAACAGCTACTCAGTACATACAAAGATAAAATATAGCTATCTTGAAAAAACTTGTTTTAGAAAAGGAAATAACACTTACTACTATAACGATTTTCCGTATCTTAGGATGGCAGTTTAAGAAATGAACAAATTTGAAAGCATCCATGTTTTCAGCAGGGAATAAGGAGTGTGGGGGAGGTGGTGCCCCCCGTCTCACTGCTGTAAGCTTCAGCTTTGCCCTCTACCCTGGTGGGCAGGCTCCTGTCACACAGTTTGGAAACTAGGGAGTTTCAGATCCAGCAAACTGTCTGCTCATTCTCAACACTGCTGTCAAAAGTTGGAGGGTTGGGGAGCACTTCTCTCCCTATTTATTCAAATGGCAGTGTTCTGAGAGAATCCATTTTTATTTATCCTGTATTCCTAAGCATTAGGAGCTATGAGAGAAGGAGAGTATCTGTGCAGGCGCCCAACTCATGACCTCATTAGTTATTTCCAAGAAGAAGTGCCGGCAATAGTTTACCATGTTAGAAAGACTGATGGCCGAGCCCAGCACACCTCCCAGCAAGCCTTGATTCTGAAGGTGCACTCTCCTGCCTACACCACTAACCTCTCAGAGGAATCGGCATCCCACAGGCCACTCCCCAGTTGCTTTCAGAGGAACAGGACTTTGGGGACTCCTGGTTATGAAGCTTAATAAGAAAAGCCTATTTCCGATATGCAATGGGATTTTCACACCCCAATTTTAGAAGTAAAATTATAGTTTCTTCTGTAATAATTTGTATCTTAATGTTAAAGGCACTTCTAAGTTTAATTATCTACAGCAAATGCTTTAGAGTTAGCAGTGCATATCATTTTAAAGTTAGCCCTATGAAGTTAAAAGCAAACTCCTGATTTCAAAACACAGTGATCTAAGGTCTCCAAGAAGGTGATCTAAAACAAATTCTGGCCACAGAACATTGAACCTTCATCAGGTGAGTTCAATTCGAAATGACAAAGTGACTGGAAAAATATATGAACACTTCCTAAAGCCTGCTGGAGGTCTTATCAGATGTAACTGAAAATGATACAAAACGCGAATTTCTTATCTTTCCTGTTTGCTGCTTGGCGTTGCTAATGCGACTATCAGATAGCCTTCAGGAGGCGGTAGGAAAAATGGATGGAGACACAAATGTAGCAGACAGAGAAACGAACAGTCTGGTCACAGTTACAAGAGCCAGACCTGTAATGACAGAGGACAGAAACAAGATTTATATGTTTTACAGTAAGTGTGAAAAAAAGCATGATTCAACATGTTTTTAAATATTAGTGCAAATTCCAACTATCATTCTTACATATAAAGTTATTAGAGCTTCAAATGCCTAGGTTAGCAATTTGAATCTGGAGGAAAAAAGTTTACGGCTTCCCTCAAAATGTTCAGAAAACATCCTATTTTAGTCTTCATTTGCTAACGTCTCAGTAGACAACCATATTTTGGCCCCACTTAAAAATTTGCTTAATGGCGTTCCTAAAATGCTTCGTCTGCACAGATTCCCTACAGGAGAAAATGGGAATGAGGAGGAGAGAAACTCTGGCGTCCCTGAGGCGTCGTTGGGGCTACTGGCTCTGAAGTACATCCTGCTCTGGCCCAGCTCCCCATAGCAGGCCTCTAGGGGGCCACTGCACTGCTGCCGCAGCATCCTGCTCAGCACATCGACTTCATCGGCCAGGACGGAGAGCTTGTGAAAGGCTGTGATGGGGCCGCCTAGGCTGATCTGGGCCTCGGGAACCCAGCGGAAGTAGCACAGTTTCCACAGTTTTAAGTGTGTTCCAGAGACACGTGGCAGAATAACAGCGTGCAGGTCAACTGGCTTGGAAAACCATTCTCTAAAATACTGCTCCATATCACTGTTCTGGCTGTTGGTTTGCTGAGGTGGATCTGGCTTTAGTTTTAATATCAGTGAATTTCTCCTTGGAAGTAATTCTTGGTCACTGATGATTCCATTCTTTAAGGAAGACGGCATTCCTCTTAGTGTGGAGCTGTAGCTTTTCTATACAGAAGAGATTTTACCATTATGTTCCGGGGTTTCCCTTTTTAGAAAGATTGTAACGATGCAATGGCAAATATAAACTCAACACTACGAAAAATTAATGGAATTTCCACTTCAAAGAACATTTTCCTCCCTTCTTTGCAGTCTGTATTCTAATCCTCCTCCCTTTAAAATTCTTCTTAGGTGTTGACTCTTCCTAGGCTATCAGCATCAGCCTGAATAGGGTAGGGATGAGAGTACCTGCTAGCCACTAATTTACTTAAGGATAAGTTCTAAGACTAGGGTTGGGGGAAAAAACCCAGACCTGGCTGATTGTATCAAGAACAGCAGACTGGATGGGTTTCAGTAAACGGGGCTGGCAGGCTCAGAGCCGCAGTCTGCCCACGCTCAGGTACTGAGGCTTTGTGGAACTCAGACACCAAGAAGGAAGTCGGGATATAGTCATTTCAGTTAAAAAGGCAATGATCCCTCAGAAACTGGCATTAGCAGTGTGTTACTGTTGGAAGTACCTTTACTTTTAATGCTCTCTGTTCTGAAACATGTGTTTGGTTACATGTGAGCCAACATGAGGTTTTGTTAGCTGTCATTTACCTTTGTCCGTTTAAAAGACTTCATGGAGCCGTTCTGTACACAAGGTGTGCTCTTTCCAATGTAGAAGGGGTTATGGAAAAGGGTGCGGTCCTTTGCTGTAAACTGGAGTGACCAGTCCCAAACAGAGGGGAATCTTAAGCCCTTCTCATCACCCAACTGGATATTTTTGCTTATTGCAAATTCCTGCAAAATAAATAAATAAGTATTTGAACATCTGTGAAGAGATGCAAAACTAAAGATTTTCTCATGAATTCCTTTTCTCAGATGAGCCATTCATCATTATATAAGTTAAATGTTCTGTACTGCAGCCCTCAAGACCCACCAGAGCGGCACTTTCACTTCAAGAGAGGAGGCGCTCCTGGCTCTTGAGCACAGAGAAGCCCGACAGTCCCCATAAACAAGGAGTGTGTTATTCAGGTGCCTTCTGCCTTAGGACCCCAAGGAAGCTGTGCCCTTAGTGCAGTAAGAATGTTATTCAGAGAAATTTCACTAACCTGACACCAGAAAGTCTTAACCAGGTTGAGTTTATTTCTGTAGTTACAGTATTTTCCTTTTATGAGCACATGATCTGCACATTTAAGCAGATACCTGTTGGTAAGTGGACTAACAAAATCTTTGGATGGAAATCACTACCACCAATTTTATAACTTATTTTCTAAGTGGGGAGCCTCACTTCACTGAGTCAGTGATCTCAAATCACAGGCCACAGACTCGGGGTAGGGAGGAAGGAATCAACTCTCCTATAGTCCTAGCAGGTGGCTAAGACCATGGAGACCATGTACACAGGAGACCCCTCTTCACAGGAGTCCACCTCTGGCCTGGACTCTGGGCTGGTACAACTTGGTTATCTGGCTTCTCACTGTAGTAAACTGAGGCAACACAAGGCTACAGGGTGACAGCCAACCACTTCTCTGTGAGGAAGACATGGAGCTCCTCTGAAAGGCAGCCTAGACCATCTCCATGAAGCAGTCACATTTAGCAATGTGGAGAAAGGACTCTCAGCTGAGTGACGGCAGAAGGCTACCACAGCAGCGAATACACAGCAGTTACCTGGAGGACATATCCCCAGAGTCTCTGGATGGTGGGAAACGTTGGATTCTTTGCTCTGTACCTTTTAGTACTCTCCAAATTTTCTACCAAAAAAACTCGAATAATTTATTTGGAAATTATTAAAAAAACAACGAATGTTACTAGGAAAAAATATATGGCAGTCAGGAGGCCAGGTGGCATTCCCTGCCACAGTGGCGGCCTGGAATCATCCAGAAATGGATACGCTGTCTAACAGCACAGAGCATTTTTTAAATGTTTACAAAATTTTCTATTTCAAATAAGTAAAAATTCATTAAGAACCAAATACACATATTCTTAAAAATTTTTAGTCACCTGAAATTTCATCATACACGTACGTGGATTAAAAACAACCCATTTGCTTTAGACACTGTCAAGAGCTGAAATCTAATAAAACGTGAACCTGAACCTATTTTAATGGCCCTTCAGTAAGTATACAGAAACTGTCCTCCTGGCTAAGTGTGGTGGCCCATGTCTGTAATCCCATTACTTTGGAAGGCTGAGATGGGTGGACCGCTTGAGTTCATGAGTTCAAGACCAGACCGGGCAACATGGCAAAACCCTGACTCGACAAAAAAACAAATTCAAAAATTAGCTACGTTTGGTGGCATGTGCCTGTAGTCCCAGATTCTCAGGTGGCTGGGGTGAGAGGAGTGCTTGAGCCCAGGAGGCAGGGGTTGCAGTGAGCTGAGATCACACCACCTGGTAACAGAGCCAGATTCGGTCTTAAAAGAAGAAGTCCTCTTTTTTTAAAAGGTGAAAATTAAAAATATTTATCTCCAAGGGATATCAGATTTTCTATAAACACCACCTGGCCACTAGCACCTAAGGTAGCCTCAGAATGGAAAAAAAGAAATGCTTTGGGCTTTTGGCTGTGTGGAAGGGGCTGAGGACAGTTAAGAATCAAAGAATCATGACCCTTAGTCAGTCAATGACCAGTTCCTACTATGGAGGAAGGGAGAGGAAGATTCATGTTAGTATTTGTCAGAAAAAGCTTTTTTTTGGGGGGTGGGGTGGGGGCTTTCTGGCAAAACCCAGAAAGCCTGCTAGATAAATTCTAACAGAGCTGTAACACTAGAAAAAGCTTTTGAAAAAGCCAAATTAAATAAATAGGGCACTAGAACATGAACAGAGAAAGCAGATGAAATACTTGTACAAAGTATTTTGTACAGCTCCCTCGATTCAGTAGCGCTCACTCCTGGTGAGAAGTCTCAGCATATGCAGCATCCGCCAAGCAGCAGAGGTGGTGGGGTCTGGGGGCCGGGGGTCCTCCACGCAGATACCAACTCAGTGCACTGCCGAGTCCCCAGACCCCGAAGTCTTTGTCCTCGCCTCATGCACCTTTTGTAGGCTCACACTGTGTGCACAGGGTAGTGACGGGAGAGAATGGGGAAAGAGCTGAGAGAGGCAAACAAGGCCAAGGGCAAGCCTAGCTCAAAGCAGATGGGGGGCCCAAGAATGATTATGGTGATGACAAATGAAAACAAGCAACTGGGAGAGCGTGTATTTTAGAAACAAGTAAGTGTTCCATGCCTCAGGAGCCTCTGAGCCTGTATCACTGGTCCAGGGGACAGACTCTGGCTCTGTCACCCAGGCTGAAGTGCAGTGACAGTCTCAGCTCACTGCAATCTCTGCCTCCTGGGCTTAAGCCATCCTCCTACCTCAGCCTCCCCAGTAGCTGGGACCACAGGTGTGCACCACTACATCAGGCTAATTTTTTATTTTTTATAGAGACAGGCTGACGGTGTTGAGTTTCTTTGAGCCCTGGGCTCCCCAAAAGTGGCAATGTTGGACAATCCCTCCTGCTTTTCATGTCCTGAGAACTGACTCCCATGAACTGAATCAGACCGCCCTCCCTCCTGATTCCCGTTTTCTGACTATAAAATACCCCAGGCTTTGGCCTTTTCTTTGGGACACCCATTAATTAAATTCTCCCTCCTACAATAGCCTGAATAAAATCAGCCCCTTAACTAACCAGTGTGTTGTGTCTTCTACACTAACAAATCCAGAATAATTCATATGTCTTTAGGAAAATTTGCATAATGCTTCACAGTTTACAAAATGTTTTCACCTCATACAATGAGACTAAAGGCAGAATTGTTAGTCTGATAGATCCATTTTACAGATAAGGAGCCCGGACTCACAAGCTGCACTTTTCCCAGACCAGGGCCAGAATTCAGGTTTCCTGCTCCCCAGGCCACACTGCCCAGCCCAGGGCCTTACTGCTGAGGCTGAAGACCCCGGAGCTCACTGAGGGTAATCAACTTCCTAGACAGGCTTCCTGAAGGCCCACAAGAGCTACCCCTTTCTGTTTCTCTCAACGGTCTCTGCAGCAATTGTCAGCGTCTGTTGTTGGTTCAAGCGTGGGTGAGACAGCACTTTGGTCCAGAATGGTTCCCCCCAGTGGCAAGCAGTAGCTAGTTTGCCTTGAGACTCTGCTTAGTCACAAATGACTCTTCCTCTAGATCAATAATGAATTGTGACGGGAAACTCAGAACTCTTGAAGGAAAACAATCTTGTTTTGTACAACTTTTTATCCTCCTGACCAGGAAATAAACGTCCTGTAACAGGCCTTTGGCTTTTACTACCCAGTAGCCCAAATGTGAAACATAAATACAAAAGCATGACATTTAAGGTGGTTAATTTACATCTTTAAAGGGGTTTACTACAAAAAATTACATCAGAGTAAAACATAAAAAATGTTCACTCATAAAAATAATTTCCTAGATTTTTGTCTTTAGTTCATTCAGAAATTTCAGCTGAAAATGGCACTAAGAGAGTTTTAAATCATAGATTTTAAACAGACAGTTAATTATACTTCAATTATGCCTTGATAAAGTTGTAAAAACAAAAAAAAACGTAGCCAGGGCCACAGGGTCGCTTACCGTGCTTTGCTTCACTCGCTGGTGAGGGGAGTTGAACAGGAAGGTGCCGAACAGTGAGATCCGGGTGCTGTCATACAGCACTGCCAGGTAAGCTTCTGAGAACTCGAACGCTGCAGGGTACTGTTCCAACAGCTGCCAGGTAGCATCCAAGAATAGCAAAAATAAAGGAGACTGGCAAATACAGAGAAATGGGATCATTTCATGTTATCCTTCAGCCATTCACACTGACTTCAAAATGTACTGCTGATGTTAAAGAGATGAAACATCTGAGCCTAAAACACTCGGCTCCTAAGCTGGGCTAAGGAGAGACGACAGACACCTACCAAACCCAAGAAGTAAGGATCCACCATGATAAACATCACAACCCTCTGCCCAGTAAGTGTAACAACTTGAACTGGCAAAGCAGGCAGCTGAGTAGGTTGCCACTATGTAAAGGAGGAAGAGCAAAATATGTGTCTAAGCATGACCTAGAAACAATTCTTTAGATTTGATAACAAAACCAAACCATCAACAAACTTCTGTAATTTTTGGTTGATCCTGTAGGCTCACCATCAGAAAACACTTTGCTATCAGCCTAGGTCACATGGTGTGTCCCCAAGTGCAGCAGCTGATGACCACTATTTTTTATGAGACACCACAAGTCAAACGGTGGTCTCTGAAACAATCTTCTAAAAACTGATCTGACTTGCCCGGCCTGTAAGCTATTTGTTAGGCCTTCCACAGTCTAACTATAAATCTATGGCAACCACTAATTCCACAGCTGTTACAGAAGTGGCCCTCTCATCATAACTTCCCATCATAACCTGGATATCCCATTTTAAGAAAATGTGATATTCCAAAAGTTATTTTTCCAAATAGCTAATGTGCTTGTTATCTGTTTTACAAGATTTTATTCAGAATTTTTTCAGTACTTTTACACTAAGACAAATTCAATAGACAACTTTAAACACTTCGCCTCATAGTTAGGAGAATCTTTAATAATAAACACATCAATTTGGACTCTAGTCCATTAGCTAGCTTTGGACTAAGGAAGCTATGTTGTACGAAATACAGTACTTTTTAAAAGCCCCTGCATCTTTTCAAGACTGATATAAAGGCATGAAGATTTTGTTACCTCTTTCTCTGATCTCTTCAGATGGTTGCATCTGTCTAGGAATTGATATCCTGCCATGACCCACTCCTTTTGTATCAGACTCTGAAATCCAACAATTGTCCTAAAATAGGGATCCAGCATCACTTGAACAAGAGAAGCGACTAAACAGCTCAAGTCTCTTCCTTCCTCCTCTGTCAATAAAATGCAAAGAAGATGATGACAACATACAAAAATTCTGAGAGAGAAAGGGAAGTAAAGGAAATCTAGGTAACTAAGTGTTCTACGCACCTAGGCTGCCTTCCAGATAATCTGTATAAGGAAATTTTACTGGATTCCAGCAACTCTAAAATATTACAGACTTGTAGATAAACTAAAGTAGCACTTAATAGAAGATGTGCTTTTATAATGGGATTTGCCAGATAATAAAGGCTCATCAGTCACACTTTTTACATTTGAATGACTGTGGTAGAAAATCCTTCTGGACTCCACTCTACTGCTCTTCTGTCAAGGTATTAAGTCTAAGGTAATCTTTCTACTGACAACTCCACGCAGCAATACTGAGAGGTGAATGGGGAAAGTGGGACCATTCACTACCACCTGGAACTGTGGCCAACAATTCCCTCCTGTCTTTTACAGTTGTCCTTTTCAATGAGGTCGGAATTATCAAAGCCAGGGAAATCAGAAGAAACCTACTGACCAACATCCTTGTTGATTACAGATGTAAAAAATAAAAATAAATATGACTAAACCAAATTATCCAGGAATGCAAAGTTGGTTTAACATCTGTCAATCATAGTAACATACCACCGTAATCAAATAAAGGTCAAACTAACACGATCAACTCATCAGATGTAGAAAAATTCTACATTCATTCCTGTTTAGGAATAAAAGGGAACTTCTTTAAACTGATCAGAGACATCCACAAAAAAACTACAATTAATGTTATTCTCGTTGGTAAAAGACTGGATACTTTCTCCCTAAGATCAGGAAGACTACAAGGATATCTGTTCTCTACACATCTCCATCTGATTGTCCTGGAGAATACAGCCAGAGCAATTAGGCAAGAAAAAGAAAATAAGAGGCATCCAGATCAGAAAGAAAAAGGTAAAAACTGTATTTGCAGACAATATGATCCTATATGTAAAAACTCCTATGCAATCCACAAAATAACTACTCGAACTAATAAATGAGGCCCATAAGGTCACAGAAATTCGATATGTAACAATCTGAGCACACTATAAACCTGAAAATGAAATTAATAATTATATTCACAGTAATATTACTTAAGAGATTTAACAAAATAAGCATAAGACTTGCACAATAAAACACTGCTGATAAAATGAGAAATCTAAATGGAGCAGCATAATTCCTAACAGCCACAAAGAAGAAACAACTCAAATGCCAATCAACAGGTAAATGGGTAAGCAAAATGCACTTAAATAGTGAAATACAATTCAGAAATAAAAAGGAACACATTGCTGATACATGCTACATGAACGAACCTCAAAAACATGTATGTTGAATGAAAGAAGCCAGAGGCAAAAGACCACAAATTTTATGATTCCATTTATATGAAATGCTGAGAAAAGGAAAAATCTACAGACAGAAAGATTAGTGACCGCCTAGAGCTGGGACAGGTCTTTTTGGGGTGATGAAAAATTTCTAAAACTAAACTCTGTATATTTACTAACAATTATTAGGCTGGGCGCAGTGGCTCACACTGCGCCTTGGGAGGCCGAGGCAGGTGGATCACAAGGTCAAGAGATGGAGACCATCCTGGTCAACAAGGTGAAACCCCGTCTCTACTAAAAATATAAAAAATTAGCTGGGCATGGTGGCGCATGCCTGTAGTCCCAGCTACTCGGGAGGCTGAGGCAGGAGAACTGCCTGAACCCAGGAGGTGGAGGTTGCAGTGAGCCGAGATCGCGCCATCTCACTCCAGCCTGGGTACCAAGAGCGAAACTCCATCTCAAAAAAAAAAATTATTGAATTACAAATTCAAAAATCAATGAATTTTATAGTATTTAAATTTTAACTAAACTGTTTAATATAAAAATGTTAGTAAAATGAAGGTTCAGTACTACTTCTGAGGCCTTTTGTATTACAAATGCATGGAGAAATGGAGGATAAACAGGGTTCTCCAATATGATGATAACACCCCCTGGATGAGAGAGAAATTTCGACTACTAGGCTCTGCATGCATTTGTGAGTTACACACACACTGGCCGCATCAGTTCAGGATTACTTTATATGGCACATTACTATTTTATTTTTTTCCTAAAAGTTTTAAAGATTTTTTCCTCATCAAAGTCAATTAAGTTTGACAGTTATTAAAAGTACTTTTGCAAGCTTGGCTGGGTGCAGTGGCTCATGCCTATAATCCCAGCACTTAGGGAGGCTGAGGCAGAACACCTAAGGTCACGAGTTTGAGACCAGCTTGGCCAACACGGGTGAAACCCCCGTCTCTACTAAAAACACAAAAATTAGCCAGGCATGGCAGTGCATGCTTGTAATCCCAGCTACTTGGGAGGCTGAAGCAGGAGAATCACTTGAACCCAGGAGGTGAAGGCTGCAGTGAGCCAAGACTGTGCCACTGCACTCCAGCCTAGGTGACAAGAGTGAAACTAGGTTTCAGAAAAAAAAGTGCTTCTTCAAGCTTAAGCAATATTTTGTATTCATAAACTATGCTACATGAATATACAGTCGTCCTCAGTATCCATGAGGAACTCATTCCAGGACCTCCCTTGGATACCAAGATCCACAAATACTTAAGTCCCAGATATAAAACGACATAGTATTTGCACATAACCTGTGCACATCCTCCTGTGTACTTTAAATCACCTCTAGATCACTTACAATACCTAATACAATGTAAATGCCATGTAAATAGTTGTTAGACTGTACTGTTTAGGGAATAATGACAAGGAAAAAAAGTCTGCTCATGTTCAGTATGGCTGCAATTCCCCCCCCATCCCCGCCCAATATTTTCAGTCGTGAGTTGGTTGACAACAGATGGGAAACCCATGGATAAAAGGGGCCTACTGTATTATCGGAAGGTAGTTTTTAGTCTATCTGCAAACTTAGAAATTTTATTAGCTATAAAGTTATTTAATGTTATCCTTTGCTTAACTGTAAGATTTTTTATGTTGCTGTTTATTCCTACCAAATATTACATTACTAGCTATTCAGTTCAGTCTATTACTTCATATCAAACTATTCCCTTACAGTCAAAATTTAGCATGAGCCAGAAGGTATCTGAACTAAAACAAATTTGTATGAATTAGAAAGAGCAAAATTAGAGAGAATGACCTGTCAAAATTGTCACTAAGTATTAATCCAATAAAGGATGGGACCCACCCTTGCCATAAAATAGGAAGGATAGTTTAATAAAGGGTAAAACCTGGACTCCCTTCTAGTCTTCTATTTTCAGTCCCTGTGCCACTGGTTTTTTCTGAGTCAGAGTCTCTCTGTGTTGCCCAGGCTGGAGTGCAGTGGTGTGATCTCGGCTCACTGCACCCTGTCTCTGAGGTTCCAGTGATTCTCCCGCCTCAGCCCCCCAAGCAGCTGAGACTGCAAGTGCACACCCCCGCGCCCGGCTCACATTTGTATTTTCAGTAGAGACGGGGTTTCGCCTTATTGGCCAGGCTGGTCTTGAACTTCTGACCTCAGGTGATCCCCCCACCTCGGCGTCCCAAAGTGCTGGAATTAGAGGCTTGAGCCACTGTGCCCAGCCCATGCCACTGTTTTACTGAAATGATGTGCAAATTCTGTCATGTATTTGCTGGTACCGTGGTAATAAGAGTCCGCTAAAACATGAATGGGACAAGCAGGAACTACAGTTGGCTGGCAGGGTGGGCAGGGTGCTCTCAGGAGTCACTTTAGTTACCTTGCAGGACTACAGAGACATGTTTGCTTTCCAGCATGTATACGAGTTCTGCTGAATGCTTAAGGAAGGCCCTGAAGAGAGAAAAGAAAAAATAGTGTTAACAATCAAATTTCCACTACAAATACATATTTAAAGTACTTGAAGTCAAGCAAATCTAATTTCTCTCACTTTATCGATACTCTCTGACTCACGATGTTCTTATGAGTCATGCTCCACGATGACTCAATGGGTTTATCATGACTATGTCTTAACTTATCATGACTCAAGTCCTGATGAATCCATTGTAAGCTGAAAATATCCTAAACTGAAAATGCGTGGCTGACTGGCAGCTGTGGCTCCCTGCTGCTGCTCAGCATCACAAGAGAGAATTGGCTACTTTCTACTGAATGCAGGTAGCTTTCAGATTACTGTAAAGTTTCTTTAGTATTTTTATGACTCCTCCAAGGAGTGCATTTTGTAATTTTTTTTTCTTCTTAAAAGACAAAATCTCATTTTGTCACCCACACTAGAGTGCAATGCCATTATCACAGCTTATTGTAACCCTGAATTCCTGGCCTCAAGTGATCCTCCTGCCTCAGCCTCCAGAGCAGCTAGGACCACAGGCATGTGCCACCATGCCTGGCTAGTTTTAAAATTTTTCTGTGGAGAAGGGGAGTCTTCCTATGTTGCTCAGGCTGGTTGTCAACTCCTGGCCTCAAGTGTTCCTCCTGCCTCAGCCTCTCTAGGAAAACAGGCACAAGCCACCATGCCTGGCTTCTTTTACGTTTTTTTGTGGAGATAAGGTCTCATCATGTTGCTCAGGCTGGTTGTGATCCTCCTCCTCAGCCTCCCAAAGCTTTGAAATTATAGGCATGAGTTACCATAACCGGCCCCATTTTGTATTATTTTTTTTTTTGAGATGGAGTCTTGCTCTATTTCCCAGGCTGGAGTGCAGTGGCACAATCTCAGCTCACTGCAACCTCTGCCTCCCAGGTTTAAGTGATTCTCCTGCCTCAGCCTCCTGAGTAACTGGGACTACACAGGCACAGGTCACCATGCCTGGCTAATTTTTTTTATTTGCAGTAGAGACAAGGTTTCACCATGTTGGCCAGGCTGGTCTCGAACTCCTGATCTCAGGTGATCCACCTGCCCTAGCCTCCCAAAGTGCTGGAATTACAGGCATGAGCCACCAAGCCCGGCCCCATTTTGTAATTTTTATATCAGAGAAATTCATTAACTCTTTATAAAAAGGAAGGGGTTGACTTATGACAAAAACTATAGAGATTGAGATTAGTGGTACCCAACAGACACAGATGGGGATGGGGGTACACCTATAAGAGGGCTAGCACTGGGGAGCCTTGCCATGGAACAGTTCTGTACCTTCCTGTGGTGGTCACGCAAATCTACACGGGATAAAATCGCATCGCTCTGTCAAGTGCATGCACACATACGAGAGCACGTATGAACTGGTGAGTAAGATCTATGCAGTGTGCCAATCGACGTCAGCTTCCTGGTTTGGACGCTGTATTCTAGTTACGAGATGCTTGTTACCACTGAGGGAGGCTGAATGAAGAGTAAGTACATGGCTCTCTGTGCTATTTTTGTACCTACAGTGAGTCTGTAATTACCTCAAAATAAAAAGTTAAAGGAAAAGAAAGAACTGGTACAAACCTTATGTACTCTAACCATCGAGTATTTTCCAGTGAAGATAACCATTTCTCTTCAGTTTCTTCAAATGGCTCTGTAATACATTATACACATACATTTTTATTTTTTAATTTTATTTTATATGATCTCTATCAGAGTTAAGCGATACATCAGTTTCTAATATTTAAAAGCTGGCTTTAAGTAAATATCATGCATTTTCACTTTCATAACATGAAATAAGCATTTAAGAAGACATTACAATTCCGGGCCGGGTGCAGTGGCTCATGCCTGTAATCCCAGCACTTTGGGAGGCTGAGGCAGGCAGATCACCAAGTCAAGAGATGGAGACCATCCTGGCCAACATGGTGAAACCCTGTCTCTACCAAAATTACAAAACTTAGCTGGGTGTGGTGGCAGGCGACTGGAGTCCCAGCTACTTGGGAGGCTGAGGCAGGAGAATGGCTTGAACTCAGGAGGTGGAGGTTACAGTGAGCCAAGATCACACCACTGCACTCTAGCCTGGTGACAGGGTGAGACTGTCTCAAAAAAACAAAACAAAACAAAACAAAACATTTACAATTCTTTTAACAAAATAAAACAAAGCAAAGCATTCCCCTGGGGCTCCATCATCTTCTCTCTCACTCTTTCGGAAAAATCTTGGAAAGTCCAACCAACTCTGACTCTCAACAACTAGGAATTCCACCCTTCCCTGCTCAGCCCATGCCTTGATGCTGGCCCTCCTGACCTGTGAGGTCAGGTGCCCAGGCCCTAGCCCTCGGCTTCCTCACTGCAAGCCTTGCCTTCCTGCTTCCCTGCCCCTCCCCTGCTGCCAGTGCTGCCTTTCTGCATGGCTCGTGTGGCCTGAGGGCTGATGAGAGGCAACTTCAATTCCCTGGCCAGAGTGCACACTAGTTTTTTCAACAATTTGCCCTTGCCCCACCCCTGCAAGGCCCTCCCCCAGGGAAGTGCTCACTCATTGCTCAAGATCTGCTGCAAGGCTGCCTTTGCCAACTCCCTCGTGACTTAGAGGCTCTCTCAAGGAGGACCCACATTACACCAAAGATGCTGTCATGTCACTCATCACCCAGGATACATTGAAGCCACCTGATGTTTGCTCAGATGTATCAGAACTTGAGGCTACAGATACAACACAGCTGTTTGATACCCATGTCCAGTCACCTATCTCAAAGTATAACCATATGTATTAAAATCTTAATAAGTTTGTCTGTAAGGTAATATAGTATTCTACTCAGCAAATGCTTTTATACAAGTATTGTACTATAGCTTTCATGACTTAAAAGGAAATTTAATATATTCATTTTTCCCTTTCTAAAACAAAAAGTAGTTTAAACTTAATTCCGTAGGAGGTTCTGAAGTTCTCATACGATAATAAATAATTCATACAAATACTTCCATAGACTTCTTAAATATATCTATTTCTATATGTTTAAAGGAACGTCACTTTTCATGACATCTCATACAATTCGGTATCCTGGGTTCATTATATATATGAAATAAGAATGAAATTACCATTAACGCATAGCTGCTTCAGTTTTACAAATGCTGCCTGTACTTCTTGAATATTAGGCAAGGTCTTATCCAAATCTGACTTGTAAACATCACTCCTCTGTGGGTGACTTTTAGTTATTGCATTACAAATCCTAATAAAGACAAAAATCCTTTAGTCATTACTCATTCACTGAGCATGTATTTATTTAACGCTCACTACAGGCCAGGGCATTATTCTAACAGCTGGGGAGAGAGAGAGGAATGAGACAGGTAAGGAAGGTCTCTGTCTTCATGGAGTTCACTTTTTTTTTTTAAAGACAGAACCATTGCTTATTTTTTAGTTTTAGAGACTATTCCCGTCAGGTTTCTTTGCATGATTTTTCTGGATCCTGATGAAACTGAGAGCAAAATTGAGAGGAAGACAAGTAAACTTTGTTTCCGTCTTATCATCCAACTTCTCACATGAATCTGGTTTTGACTAAGGCAGAGGGCTGCCATTCACATCACCCCCACCCCCACATGCAGTGGACAGAAAGAATTCGATCATTCCCTTATTTCTGATGGGAGAAAACAAGCGCATCCATTGGAACACTTGCCCAGGAAACAGGAATACTGCTGAGTGGGCGGCATGGCATTTAGACTGAGGAGACCCTTCACTCCCACATCTTTCCACATGATGTAGACAGAAGGATGGCAAAGCAGACTCACATTCTCCAGCTCTAGAGAATGCAAAGCACCTATCCCCAGTGTTAACGATTTGCTGTGGGATGAACTGCAAGCACAGACATTCCCCAAATTCCTCCCACCCTTCCTCTGTTCTTAGGAGAGAACGAGCTGCTATAAATGTGTGCCATGGGGTCTCTAGATGTTTTCAAAGGCAACAGCCAGAACTGGCATTCCCATCTATATTCAAGGGGCAACTTCCACATCACTAAAACAAACAAACAAAAACAAACCGCTATTTTTCTTCCAGAATAAAGTACTATAAATTAGCGTGGAATGTTTAAAAACACCTTAAAAAGATAAAATCACTGAGAATTCTAAAATTTTGATGTAAATCTTTGTGGATTTCTTTTATATGCACCTTGATGGAATTTAATGTACAAATGTACACTGTACATTTGCTTGATAAACTGATTTTTAAAAATCAACTAATCAACATGAATATGCTCTCATTTCATTAAAAGATGTAATGTTTCATGAATCTGCATTTCATCTTGGTGCAAGGGCCATGCTAATCTTCCCTGTATCATTCCAATTTTAGCTGATGTTCTTAGTGGTGGTGGGGTAGACGGTAACAGTCAAATAAATGGGCTGTGGTGAATGCCATGGATGATGTAATTAATCATGGATTACAGGCTACTTCAGGTCACACGGTCAAAAAAGGCTACCCTGTGAAGATGGTACAAAAGCTGAAACCTAATGAATGCAATGCAAAGATCTTGAGGAAGTGATGCTTAAACTGAGATGTAAAGGATCAGTGAGTGAGCTGCACATGGTGGCTCATTCCTGTAATCCCAGCACTTTGGAAGGCTGAGGTGGATCACCTGAGGTCAGAAGTTCAAGACCAGCCTGACCAACATGGTGAAACGCTGTCTCTACTAAAAATATAAAAAACAGCCAGATGTAGTGGTGGGCGCCTGTAATCCCAGCTACTCACAGGAGGCTGAGGCATGAGAATCACTTAAACCCAGGAGCTGAGATCATACCACTGCACTCCAGCATGGGTGACTGCTGTCTCAAAAAAAAAAAAGAACAAGTGAGTCCAAGCGGGCAAGTGTGGAGAGTGTTCCCAGATGAGCACAGAGGAGGAGTCCAGAAGGGAAGAGCACTGGACAACGTCAGGGGGTTGAAAACACCAGGGGAAGTCCAGGTGGAAGGAGGAAATGATGGCACTTGTAACACACAGGCAGAGGTGGAGCTGGGTGGAAGCACACAGGTTTGTACAGTGTCTGAAAAGTGAAGTGACAAAATCTGAGGAGGAACTGGAGATGGGGAAGAGAAAGAAAGAAGGCATCCAGATGACCCTTTGGTTTCTGAGAGCAGGCTGGGGGAGGGCATGGAGGCCATATCCTTGAGTTTGGTTTTAGACATAGTAAGTTTAAAGGGCCTTTGAGACCTCCATGTACAAGTCAAGTTAGACTGAAGATATAAATGCGTTGGCCACCAAAGCCATATTCTTGGGGGAACTTCTTTAGGAAGGAATACAGAACACGAGGAAGAAGCGGCCTTAGAATCTGTGTAATGTCCGGAGAGAAAAGTATGGGTCTGCAGAAGGCACAAAGTGCCAGCGAGGAACAGGAGCTTCGGGAGCATGGAGAGGAGCAGAGGCTGAGGGCGTAGGCAGCTTGAAGGAGAGAGTGACCGATAGAACTCCCCACTGCTCTGAGCACAACCAAGAAAGGCCTCCTGCTTTAGTGACATGGAGGATACTGATGACCACAGCAGAGGATCCCACACTAGTCTGTGGTGGCTCATTAAAACCACTGTTCTAGCTACTGCAAACACGTAGATCTAAATAAGACACATCAAACTACAAGAAAACATGGTGCTAACTAATTAAAAGACTGCGCTTTGCTAACTATTTTCAATTAGTAGGCAACTCACTGTACTTATACATGAGAAGTAAAACTATCTAAAGCGACGACCGTTTCTTGATTACCTCTGGTCAATCCTCCTCTGCTGCAGAGCATCTTTGATGAGGGCCATTCGCACGAGAGCACTGCCGTTAGAGTGGCTCCAGCACCAGAGCTAGGGGAGAGGCAGAGTCCTTACTTGACTGTGCAGAAACAACGGATGGCAGCATTCATACAATCCAACAGAAATCACTTACTGGCATCCTTCTCCCAACAAAGGAATGGGAAAAGATCTTTAGATCTTGGTCTGCTAAAGAACTTGGTACTACGAAGTATTCTGGAAGGCTGGAGAGAGAGAGAAAAAAAAAACATTATACATGAGTCCCGTGCTAAAAGCAGGAAGAATGTGCTCCTAAAGACCCCATAAATAATTAAGCACATTTATCCCCATTTAATGTGCATCACTCTAGTAGCCACATGGTAGGCACCATGGGGGCAGTCACAATCTTAGATATCTTAATCTAAAACATGCAATACGGTCAATTCTTAAAAACTGAAATTTACAGCATGACAAAATTCCAAAGAAGGTATTATAAATATTTTCCAGAATGACTAGTAATCAAACATGTCCGTGTTAGCTGAAAAATACATCCACCTTTGTTCTCTTGACAGGCTACAGTTTAAGGAGACGCCAGGAAAACAAAAGAAAACCCCATAAAGCTACCATAAGCTTTAACTCTCCTCTTCTCAAGTCCTTCTTCCACCTTTCCTCATCCCTAAAAGGCACAGTCGGACTCCATGACACCGATTAGACAACAATTACCAGTGGGCAAGCTGCCTGCACTTTAAGACATCTTCCTTCTTTCCCCGACGTGGCCGGGCAGCCCGTCACGTTTCTCAGTACATACACCAGAGTGTGCTGGTCATGAAGCTTAAATTCCAGGGAAAGCAGAAGACAAGCTACACGCTGCAAAGAACCTTTCTAGAACTGTACAAGAAGTTCCTGGTACTGGATTAACCAGTAATAACAGAGCAGTGTTTTTCTTCTTTCCTCTAAAAAGCTGCTTATTTGCATAAACTAATGAGGACTTCAATGACCTTGAAATAAGGCATTCCAGAAAATGCATAATAACTAAATGACATTAAACAAATTAAAGAAACAAATTCCTAGTCATTTTTGGAAGATTCCCTAGGGAACCAGCTCACTATTCGGAAAACTGTTGAGTAAAGGAGAAAATATAGATATTTATATTGCTTTTCTTGAATGAACTGTGTTACAGGGCACTCGAGCTGGTGAGAGAAAAGTTCCATGAAGCAGAAAGATGAAAGAAGGTGAACAATCGCAATCCTTAGTGAAATGACAGATCTGGGCAATGATCCTCCCTCCCTCCCAGTGTAAAACTAGTTTTTGGAATTAGAACCATGATATAAAAGGGGAACTTTTACTGGATGGATCGGGTTGACAGCCTCTAAGCGCACTGGTCAGTCAGCATTATACAATGAGAGACACAGCCAGCCAGCCTGAGATGGAATGTGACCCCACAGGAGAACACAGCACCACCTAATGAAACACTCTTGCCACACTGAGCCTGAGTCCAATTAAGCCTCTGTTGATAACATCTTAAAGAAATACTAGAGACAGGGGACCACATTAAGGGACAGCATGGGGATAAAACCAGCAATATCTTCAATGTGGAAAACTCCGGGGAACAAATGATCTAGTTTGCCAACAGATAGTAGGTAAAGAAGAGGTGGGAGGTGACTGTTGTAGAGTAAAAGGCCTAAAGGACATATTAAGCAGATTCAATGTGAAGACTTTAGATTCTAATCTGAACAAAACAACTGTAAAAAATCAGTTACAAGATACAGTGCAATAAACACTGACGAGATTACTGATGACAGTTAGGAACCACTGTCAACTTCTTTTTAAGGGATACTGTAATTTATATTAAGAAGCCCTGATCTTTAAAATAAAATATTCATTAAAACATTATTAAAAACAGGCTGGGTGTGGTGGCTCACGCCTGTAATCCCAGCACTTTGGGAGGCCGAGACGGGTGGATCACGAGGTCAAGAGATCGAGACCATCTCCGTCAACATGGTGAAACCCCGTCTCTACTAAAAACACAAAAAATTAGCTGGGCATGGTGGCGCGTGCCTGTAGTCCCAGCTACTCGGGAGGCTGAGGCAGGAGAATTGCCTGAACCCAGGAGGCAGAGGTTGCGGTGAGCCGAGGTCACGCCATTGCACTCCAGCCTGGGTAACAAGAGCGAAACTCCGTCTCAAAAAATAAAAATTATTAAAAACAAATATTCCATTAACCACAACTAGAAAGTCATCAATAGCAACAGACTCTGATTATTCTTCATAGGGAAGTGACTTCCAGCTATATGTAACACTGTTAAAATTGGGCTTACCAAGTGGATATCATGTAACCTTCGTTAATAGAACAAACTCTCCACCCGGAAGCAGCTGTCCTCTTGATTTCTCTGTCCCAATCTGAGTAAATTTCAAAGAGTGGAGTTTTCTGGCTGCTGTCACCACCACCTCCATTACCTTCTCCTCCTCCTCCTCCTCCTCCTCCTCCTCCATCTCCTGAGGGAATTCCATTAATTTTGTTGGCTGTAGGAAAAAGCAACATTAGGAATTTTAAGTCACATTTTCCCCAGCATTCCCTCTCCTCTTTCTGAGCCTCCTGTCACATGCATACTCTGATGTGCTGTCTCTAACCTGGCTCACCTTCCAAGTCTCTCCATGAACCGTCTTGCTCTTTCCATCTAAAAATAACTTTTTTTTTTTTTGAGACGGAGTCTCATTCTGTCACCCAGGCTGGAGTGCAGTGGCATGATCTTGGTTCAGTGCAGCCTCTTCCTCCTGGGTTCAAGCTATTCTCCTGTCTCAGCCTTTTGAGTAGCTGGGACTAGGACTAATTTTTGTATTTAGAGATGGGGTTTCACCATGTTAGCCATGCTGGTCTCCAACTCCCACCTCAGATGATCCAACCAACTCGGTCTCCCAAAGTGCTGGGATTACAGGCATCAGCCACTGCACCCGGCCTAAAAATAACTCATTTAGTCTTGTCTTTATCCAACTCTTTAAACAGCTTTGATTTTTCTCTCCTTATACTGGCTGTATCTCCTTTGCCTTCAAGCGTCAACAGGTCAGTCAACATGATATTGAGAAAACTTTGATCTGATCACACTGGACCACTCTAGCTACTATGCTAAACATTTTTCTTCCTTCCTTTTACTGACCACCTTTCCCAAGGATGAAGAATGGCTGCTGCCTGTATTTCCTCTCATTTTCTTGTTAATTTTTAATTGTCTTCCATCCCTACCATTCTAACAGAAATTATTCCTAACCCTTCCTCATCTGCCTGCCAGTAACTGTGGGGTAAATCCATGTCATTTGATTATTTTCTCCAAATATTTTGCTTGGAAAAATGAAATATCCAACAACCATCTATGTTCTCAAGCCCTTCAAATCTTTAATTTTTCTAATACCAACTTCTCACCTACCTACTCTTCTATCTGCTCATTAGAGAATTCTTGGTTTTCTGTATCTGCTTGATTTTCCTTGGAAAAACTCATAAAGTTTCTTGTGCTTTGCTAATGTGCTGTTCTCACATGGAGATTAGAGGAGGGCAGGCCTAGAAACCTGCATTTCCTTAGTAAGAAGCCTTCTCTGAGAGAGAAGTAATGCTATCTTCTAGGTATATGCCCACAGCCTCAAGACTGCCTGCAAAGTGATTACTGAGAAAGAAGCTGTCCCACCACCCAGCCAGATCTATCTTGGCAATATCTGGTGACAGATGGCACAACCCATTCTAGCCCAGGGTCTTTCCGTTGCAGGTTGCAAATATGGCAAGTCTCCCAGCTGGCATCCCCAATGGGATATTCTGCTGCATTTAAACCAGGCAGCAGCTTACCACAAGACACACTTCCCTAAAAAGATGCATTTATGATGCTGGTCCCCTGCCTTAAACTTTCAATCATGCTCATTTCTCAATCGAATCAAGTAAACCAAAATGGCTTTTCTTGGCCTTAAAGGTCCCTCACATAACTTAACCAGTCTTCATTTCCCATTCTCCTCTGCAGCCATGCAATACCCTCCACTGTCCCATGGACCTGTCATGTCCATTCCTATTGATTATTGATTAACTCCTGGTACAAGACAGGTATTTTCTGAGAACTCCCAATGTGCTAATGCCTCAGAGCAAAAAGATGAGTGAGATTTTAACTCTGTCTTGAAAACACTAAGAAGTGCAATAACCACAGAGTACCAGATGTGTGAGTGCAATGAGGATGCAGAAGAGAAGGCCCCTAACTCTTGCCGGAGAGAGGCTGGGGCAGGAAAAGCTTCATGACTTGACCACATCTAAAGAGAGTTGTAAGGAAAAAGTCAGAAGTTGCCAGGTAGCTGGTGAGGAGAAGGTAGGCATGCTAGACAGAGAAGAACCTAAAAAACATGGTATAACTGTTTGACATGAAGTAACTAAATATAGCTAGTGCATCAGGGATTCAAGTGGTGGTGGAAAAGAGGCTGGGAGATTAAACGGGGCCTAGGCTCTAGGTCTGTGCTTCCCTGAAAAATAACTTGTACTCATACATGCCCATTTAAATTTAAACTGAAATGAAAAATAAAATTAAAAATTCAATCCCTCAGTTGCACTAGCCACATTTCAAGTGCATAACAGCCACATGTGGCCAGTGGCTGCCCTACTTCCATCACTGGACAGTGCTGCTCCACATTATGGAGGGGCTTACGTATCATGTTAGGAACTGGGACTCCGCTAAGTGCTATCAGAATTATCCAGTGATTCTGATTTTAACAAAGCTCATTAAAAATTGAAAAGCTAATTCTAAGCCCATATCCTAGAGTCCCACTCCATCTCAGTGTCTTCTCTGGATTAACACAACTAAAAAGCGTGTCTGTGAGGAGGACTTAGGAGCTGTGATCTCTCCAGAACACAAAACCTACATGGAATTTTTGGGCAAAGCCCAGTCTATACAGTGCTCCAGTGTACCAAAGCACGGAAGCTATTCAGTATTAGACAAGCTGAGTAATTCACCACATGACTAAAGAGGCAAACAACTATATAGCTCAGTAAGTGCAGAAAACGTGAGTTAGATACCTGATTACAAAACAAACAAAAACCAACGTTAACAAATTTGGAATAAAAGGAAATTTCCTTAACTGGAGAGAGGGTGTTTATCAAAAAGTAATAGCTAACAGCATCCTCATTAAAAGCAGGAACTGAAATGATGCCTGCTGACGTTACTGCTGTTCAGCACTGAACCAGAGCAACTAGCCACACAATAAAACCACCACCACCAAAAAAGAATTAGAAGGAACACGCTCAGAATTTTAAGAGTTCTGTCAAACAGTTTGGTGATTGAGTCTAGCACTGAATACTTGGTACTTGTTTTGGGCTGCAGTGTGTGATGTAAACTCAATCTGCTTTTACAGTCCAGGAGTTCAAATGCTTTCCAAAGTCCAAAAAACCTGATAGCAGTGGCCTGCTCGATGAGAGAATCACTATGAAAAGTTGAACCAACACAGTGACAAGGTGGGTCGTCTCAGGCAGACCGGGCTCTGTTGACTGCTACCTGCCTGAGGTTTTATGACACAGCTCCTCAGCAGATCAAGAGTCAAACAGATATTACAGGCTCCTGACCTAGGCTACCTTATGTGATATAGTACAAAAGTCTAATCCTATACTGTTGGGGTTACTTTAGAGAATTTCCACTGAATCGGCCTAATCGATATTTAGAATGGCTTCAAGCAACAGAAAATACAAGTCGTCAACATATGAAAAGAAAGTCTATCACTCTGATGATACTGCAGAAATTAGAAGTCATAAAAGAATAAGGTAGAAAGAGGACTGATTATTCCTAAGTTCAGAAGCGTGAGTCAACAAAGTGGTTCTTAACTAGAAGATTCTAACCTCTGCTGGAGCCAACATGGCTGTATTTCTAAAGGCTCCTCCAGTGATCCTGACGTATGTAGCTGGCTGGAACCACCAATATTCAAGAGACAATCATTTATAGCAATACTGAGAATCTTGCAAGAACTGACAAGCAACAAACTTAAAAAATTCCTATACTGTTTCAAATGGATTGTGTACCTCGTGTTTTTCAAATAATCATTTTAAGGAAAATCTAAAATCAAGATCTGTTAACTAACTTTCACTGCAAATGTACAATTACAATGTACACTGTACACTGATGTGAAATTTCGTTACGACTTCAGATGACATCACAGCGTCTGTACGCAGGATGTCTGTCGTGAAGCGGAGCTGCTGACACTAAGGCTGCAGATAACTTCATGAAGCTTTCAATACTGTTAGTCCAGAAGCATAATCTGACACTTTATCAATTATGTAAGAAAGATGACTCTGTACTCTTTTTTTTTTTGATGGAGTTTCGCTCTTGTTGCCCAGGCTGGAGTGCAATGGCGCGATCTCAGCTCACCGCAACCTCCGCCTCCTGGGTTCAGGCAATTCTCCTCCCTCAGCCTCCTGAGTAGCTGGGATTACAGGCATGCGCCACCATGCCCAGCTAATTTTCTGTCTTTTTAGTAGAGACGGGGTTTCATCATGTTGACCAGGATGGTCTCGATCTCTTGACCTCGTGATCCACCCGCCTCGGCCTCCCAAAGTGCTGGGATTACAGGTTTGAGCCACCACGCCTGGCCACTTTTTTTTTTTAAGATGACGTTTTGCTCTTGTTGCCCAGGCTGGAGAGCAATGGCCCAATCTCAGCTCACTGCAACTTCCACCTCCTGGGTTCAAGCCATTCTCCTGCCTGTCTCCTGGGATTACAGGCATGCACTACCACACCCAGCTAATTTTGTGTTTTTAGTAGAGATGGGGTTTCTCCATGTTGTCGGTCTGGTCTCGAACTCCTGCCCTCAGGTGATCCGCCCATCTCAGCCTCCCAAAGTGCTGAGATTACAGGCGTGAGCCACTGTGCCTGGCTGAATCTGTACTTTTTTTTTTTGACATTATTTGCCCAATAATAATCTGACTTATGACAATCTTCATGGTTTCTTTAAAATTAGAAGAGAAAAAACAGAATCCTTGTTCTTGTCCTAGGGTGTCTGTGCATAGCAAAACAGCAAAGCGTGGGTGCTACACATCTTACTGTACTTGGGAATACTCACATAAGTACTGGAATGACTGCAGGACCTTTCAGAGATGGCTTTTACTCATGGGATGCTGAATATGAATGAAAACCTGATTGACTAAGGCCAGCTAAAATAGTTTTCTTAGATAACTGCAAGGGAGCTCCTCCAACTTTGAATCTTATTTGTGGAAACAGCTTTGTCACCTACCTGCCTGCAAAAAGGACTTCTTTAATCCAGCCAGTGAATCAAGATGTCATCCAGAAGTTCAAGAGTGGGAGAGTGGACATCTTTCACTCACAAATTAATGAATTCTGACTGCAGTGTGTGGAACTTTCAGGCTCCTTTTGATCTTAAAGATGCAGTGTTTATGCTTCTGTAACAGCATGGAAGGATATTAAAGGATGTTACCCTATGAGGAATCTTAACAAAACTATGGCCAGTGTTATGTTTATGAAGTACTTGTCAAAGGAGGAGTCTGAAAGATGTAATATAAAAAAGTATCCCTATTTTAAGTATTAATCATCAAATTTTACCAATAAGCTATATGAGAAGAAACAAAGGAACTAAATGAAGTAAATTTTAAAATTCCAGTAGTAGAAGACCTATGGGCGGATAAACTTCAGTACGATAAGCCAGAGACGCCCACAAGGAATGAACAAAGAAAAATGTGGAAAGCATTTCCACAGGAGGCACTGCCACGAAGCAGGCAACATTATACAATGTTATACCCATTGCACAACAAAGTTTACTGTCTTTGCCGAGCCCTAGTCACTACGTTACCGGAGAAGCTGTGGATCTATATACACTGGAATCAATCATTTCCGTCGGGAAAAAATAGCAGCATGAAGAACTAGTCTATATCATAAAAATTTAAGCAGGAATCAAAGAATCACTCCTATAACTCTTGCAACTCTAGGTGAGGATCTCAGTGAAGATAACCTTGATCCCTGTTCTGTAGCCCGATCATGATCCCAAGGAGTGTTCACCTGACTAACAGTGCAGGATCTAGAATTTATTTTCAGACAGTAAGTGAATTTACTTACTATTAAGAAATAAACTTAAAAAATAACTGTACTGCTTAAGCCTAAGTTACATTATGTACCTCTTGAAAAGAAAACTTAACTTACAAATACTTTTGCCATACAATTTCTATAAATATAATACCAAATGATAAAAGCTGTTCTGCAAAGCATGATTTTCATATATTATCTCTACAGTGTTATGTTTCTTTTTTTTTTTTCCTTTGGTCCTTTTAGTGCTTAACAGCAAGGTAAGTATCTTTTAAGGAACAGAAAATGTACTTACACACATGCATCTTCAGGTACCATACACTGATACATTTTAATGTGTTTACAATGTAGTTATAGTTTTGCTGGAATATACTTTTATTATACCAGTTATTTAAATTACTACCATATGTTTTATGGTAATGAAATAGAAAAAGTCAGTACAATTAATAATTTATTTGTATGGCCCAGACCATGCTGGGTGAATGGATTTTTCATTATAAATACACAGCTGATTTATTTTTCTTACTTAAACAGTAAAAGAACACATGCTTCACTCAGTTAACTGACGTGCAGTCACTAACCGACAAGGGGGCTAACAGGAGACACGGCTCTTTGTTTTTCTCTATCCTTTTAAGAGATTTAAGAAAATGGTTTATTAAAATTACGTTTGTAAAGAAACAGAATGTACAGAATTGTACATCAGCTGGAATCTTCCTCGGTCATGTCATGACTGTCAGATACATAGACAAAACTACTTTCACAAAAACTGCCTAGAAGATACCTGTCCTTGGAAAAATGCTCATCTTTGTTTCATCAATATTATTCAGAAATAGAAACTCAGTATTTTGGGAATCTTAATGAAGTCCACAAAAAGTTTTTAACCACTTCAACTTTTTCATGAAATCACACCTTGCCAGAAAATATTATGCTTTTAATATATATTTTAGTTTTCTTCCAGCTTTCTTAAAAGGTAAGATTACTTTAACTCAATCTATCAATTAAAAAGGGGAGGTTATATATTCTTCATCACGAAATACAAGTCAATGACTAGAGGTTAAATATATGCCATAACTCATAAGCTCATACTGACAGCATTACAGGTTCTTCCTGGCAACCTGTCAAGAAATAATCTGACAAACTACTGGCTCTTTAGCTTACTTCTCTAAGGTATGAAGCTAGCAATTCTACAATCATTAAAGCTCATGTACTTTGAGGCTTCTGGTAAACATAAGAGTAAAATTTATACATGTAAAATTAGTCACAATATTTAATATTTTCATATTTACCTGAATTGTGGTATTTTTTCCCAACATATTCAAATGCAAAGAGTAGCTGGAGGTCTGTTGGCTGGGAATAATGAGCTATTGCAAGGCATACCTAGGAAAAATTCTACATTTAGAATTTGTTTTTAACACACTTAATTAAATGAAATGTACAATAAGGCCTTGGGTACTGGGCGCATCATCTTGGGGCAGCGACAGATACTACTGACATGTTTTTCTGCTGACCTAGAATATAAAAGAGCCCCTTAAGGCCAGGTATCTCACTCACTGCTGTGCCCCCAAGATACTGTTTATCTTTAGTTACCACAAGGGAAGTATTCAGTAAGTATTTGCTGAGTTGAATTTTAATTAGAAAGTAATTTTAGCCCAATAAAGAAAACTTGAAACTAAAGAAGCATTCTCCAAAAAGGAAGTGACAACTTATTCACTACAAAAAGGAAGAAAAAAGTTTCATTTTTGGTGGACTATAAAGGATTGATACAAGGCATAAAACGTTAAAGTTTACGCCTCATGGATTAAAAAATCTAAATAGAGAAACATATTTACAAAAAATTAAAATTAGCAAGAAACTCCAAAAAGTTAAGGGTGGCTCAAAGATGTTCATAAAAAAATAAAAACAAAAAAAACCACACACGAAAACTGTGTTTAAGTAAAACGGTCTGGGGCTGTGTTCCCTGTGGTGGAAAACGTGCGGGCTTTAGAGTCAAACAGATGGGGGGCTTGAATCCCAGCTCTATCAAGCACTTGCTACACAACATGTGTGCAGTCAATTCCTCTCTCCTAGCCTCAGTTTGCTCACTTGTAAAACAAAGTAATACCTAGGCTATGGTAAGAATTAACAAGCTTAGTGCACGCTAGGCCTTCGCAGGAGCTCCATATATGGAAATATGGCGGTTACTATTCTCAACTGCTGCTAGATAGAATGAGGGATGGTGCTCTAGGCTTACAAACCCTGGACTAGAACGCAGGAGAAAATGCTCTTCAGTGAGCAAAGATGAAAGAAGAAATTTAAGACATGCAAGAACACAGCAGAAAAATCTTACTTTAAAAGATTAACTATCATTTAGAAGGTAAAGCGTTGAGCCAGAATGGTGTACTTTTGACAGGGAGCAAGTAAGAAAAGTTAATTGTTAGTTCAGGGCAAATTAGTGGTGTTTGGGGTGGGGGTTAATGTACATTCCATTAACCAGCAAGCATGTGTCAGCTTGTTTAAACTACATTTTAAAAGTCTTCTATATAATAAATGTTTCCTGTCTTACTAAGTTAAAATATACAAACAAGAGGACAGAATTTGTCATTAGTTTTGACCAAAAAGAAAAAAGAAAACCTTCTTCTTGAAACTTAGGTAGTATCTTGACTTCTTAATACCCATGAGAGCTTTCTACGAGGGTCCCACTTGGAAATGTAGGAGCTGGTTATCTACATTCCATTCCTAATCTTTTCAACAGTTTTACATAAAGCATCCGAACAGCAAAATGACTGAAATGTGTACCTGGAAAAAGTTCTCCTCACTTCCTGTTCCTTGGGGCACCGTTCAGCTTTGCTGCACTTTTCTCCAGACACTTTCACATCTGTGTGCACTTTGCTACACTGCCATAGCCACGTCCTTAGGCCACACTCACCTTACGGCACCTCTGTGGGCTTCCCTACATTCTAGAAATCCACAGCACTCAAGAATTACCTACCAACGATGTAATTTTGACTAATAAGTTTGCTCTCTTAATAATCTGCTGTGGTTCCCAGACATCTGCATAACAAATTAAATTTCCTCATTCTCGATTCTTCACAAAACTGGCTCTCCTCATCAGACAACTGTTACCTTCCCAATATTTTCTCAGTCATCTCAGGTTGGAGAAAAACAGGTTTGTACACATTCTGTCTGACTTAGCCCCAGCCATCTCCTCTGTCACACACTTTGCCTGGGAAGTCCTACTGCTCTTAGCCAGCTATGCTAAGAAACTGTCATATCTGTTCGACACTACTCTCTTCACAAGCCTTCCCAGAAGGAGCCAATTTCAGAGTATTAATTCCAGAAACCTACAGCTACAGTTTCAATATAAAGTGTCTCTTTAGTTAGTTGTGCTTATGTTGCTTTATTTCCAAGGTATTCACATAATAGTTACGATGTGGATGAAAAGTAGGACACAGGTGGTTCTCTATACTTCTACCATTAAGGTCAATTCCTTAAGGGTAAATGCCACATTTCTCATTCATGTAACAAATATTTACTGAGTACCTACAATGTTCTAAGCCCTGGAGATTCAGTGAACAAAACAGACACTAATCCCTGTCCTCAGGAAGCTTACATTCTAGTGGGAAGACAGATACTAAACAAGATGAAGGAGAAAAAATACAGGAAGTTAGATAACTATGAAGGCTAAAGGAGAAAAAAGGGCAGGGAAGGGGAAGATGAAGTGTTATAGCGAGAGGAGGAGGAAGCAGGTTAAAACGCAGAGAAGGAGACGAGAAAGACCTCTCTACACAGACAGGACCTGAAGATATTTGCATTTTGTAGCATCATTTCAGTAGTTTTCTAAAGGTGCTCTGTGACCAACAGCGGCTACACTAACACTGGCTGACAAAAGTAATTACCAATATATTAAGGAAGATGCTCCAAGCCAATAATAACAACGTCTATCACATTCTCTAAAACAATTAGAAAGCAGTCACATGCTCTGTTTACAGAAAAGAAATTCGCAGATCATTGATTATGGACTTTTTTTTGTGTGTGGCCATGAGGCAAAAAAGAAACAAAGCCTATTTTCAAGGCAAAATGCAACACAGCGTATTTTTTAAAAGCCCCTTAAAAACAGCACAATATCACATTAGGTTAGGAAACAAATGAGTATGTCTAATAGCATCTACATTGAAAGAAGTCTATAGAAATGTAGAACTGCAGGTCAGTTTAATCACTGAGTGCTTTTTTGGGGGGTGGAGAAGTTGAACTAAATTTATTTAGTTTTTCAGTAGTTCATTGCCGGTGTATAACTTATGTTCATATGACCTAAGTAAGGGGTCTCTTTGGGTACACACACTAAGGCACATACAAACTTGTGCACCTGGGTTGTCTTCAGGCTGTTACTGTGGAACACTCTGAGAAGAGAAGGAAAGCCAGGGCCCCATTCTTTGTACTTTTGCATACACACTATTTTAAAAACCTAAGTCCAGATTCCTACCTTCCATCCTAAGAGTTTTTGAAAGATCTGAAATAGTTCATTTTTCCTAGCTACTGTAGGAAATGAAGAAAATGTTGATATTAAAGACATTAAATTACAGTAAATTTTTTTTTGAGAAAAAGAAGTAAACTACTTTTAAATCAACTTTTGGACCAAAGCTGATAATCTTCTCTGGACAGAAGCCAGAAGCAGCCACAGTAGACGGTTTCTCTTCGAAGACCACCTGGGGTATCGTACTGAAAAAGCTCAAATCCAGGAAACACTCAAACCTCATTAAGTTCTACCTCATTTGCAAACAAAAGTGGTCTCCTTTATTTCTGTGGCCTGAAAGCCACCAAAAAATAAGTATCAGATTCAAGTCAAAAATGACAGTTCACAAAAAGGCCACCTTGTTCTTTAATTGGATGAATGGAATTCACTTCTATTAAGTATGGCTGAACAAGCGGTTCACAAGGAACTAATCAGAGAATACAGTGGAGACAAAGGGCACATATTTCACTTGTCATCATGTATCTAACTATCTTTATCTACATAGATAAGTAAATAGATAAATCATTAAAAACTTCTTTTTTTATCCTTCAGTTTTGAGCAAAGGTTCTGACAAAAAAAAAAGGTGGCTCAAAGTTGCTCTGGGGTTAGCGGTCCAATTCTGCATCATCGAATTCCTTCTTTCTTTATATCGACCTTTCCCAAGTATCACTATTTTCCTGTGACAGCTCAAGAATAGTAAGGATGAATATACGTGACTACAAGTGCAAAAAGCAACCTAATTTTGTCATAATACAAATGAGACAATGTCAACAAGACAATCAGAAGGTTTTAGAGCATTTAACAAAATGTGAACCAATTTAGTATTTTCAAATTTCATTTTTCAAAACAAAAATATAAATGTATTAGGTATTTCAAAATTAATCAATGGTTTACCCACCAGAGAACTCCAAAAACGCATTTGGTCATTTTAAAGCAACTGATAAAATATCAAAGCATTTTCCAGAGAGAACAGTATTCAAAGCTTCCAGGAAGTAAAAATAAGCCATAACTTCCTAACTGCTACCAAATTTTAGAGGAAAAATTTTTGCTTGAAATAAAAGAATATGCCAGAATTTTTGTTTTTAATTCACAAAGTCATCAAGATTCGGTAGCCACATACAACTTAACCATGTGTTTGAAACGCATAAATCAGAAAACAGAAACAAAAACTCTATATTCTCATCACATCTGTTTTATTTATTCCGTACCCTCCCCTGCCCTGCAACCTCCATGACTACACAGAAGACAGAGCCACATGCTTTTTATCTTTTACAATACTGGGGAAAAGATTTTTGTCTGACACTGGGTCTTAGGAAAGGACACACGAGGGACTGGATTGTTTTGTGCAGACGGTTTAGCGAGGCCCTCTCCATGAACCAACAGCACAACACACAGGTGGTATTCTGAATTTCCACAGCACTTACTATGCTCTGTTCATCTGGAAATCAATTGTGTAGAAACAACTTTTATGCAGCCACTCTGTACTATTACTTTTCATTTTTTTCATGCTTTCTCTTCCTCACTAGATTTAAGTTCTCTATGGCAAGAAACTGCATCTTATCCTTTAAACGTGCAAAATTTAGCATACTGCCTCAGCATCAAAAATGACCAACAAGTACTACAGACAGCTCAAGAACTACCAAATAATTATTACTTCTACTCATTAAAATAATGTCAACTTAAAAATACAGTAAAAGAGAGAGAATTCAACTTTCTGACAGAGATCAGGCCAATTCTATCAATTTCTTTAAGAATATGGTATCCTAACTCAATCTGGAAAGTTCTGTGATGTCCCTCATCTTGAGATGCTACATCTTGAGATGATTTTCATAAGCAGGTCCTTGATGCTTTAATCAATTAAATTACAAGCATAAATAAGCTTGAGGAAGTAACTTGTCTAAAATATTTTATGTACAGTCTAATACATAATGAATTTGGAAGTCCTTCTATGTAATAGCCACGTTAAATTAGTAAAATGCCAAAATTAAAAAGCACAATCGAATAGCTGAAAGAGGCTTGAAGAGTTATCTAGATGATTTTTCAACATGCAGCATGCTGAGAGATGGCTGTACATACTTTTTGAAAACTTTTACCCACAGAGGAGCCTACAACCACTCTACTATTGCTAGACAGTCATATATTTTCAGATATTCATTTCCTGCTTGCATTCCCGTAAAGAAACTGTTGGTTCTCATTCTAAAAACAAATCTGCCACCTCTTCACCAAGTATATGAAGACGGCTGCCTTACAGTATTTTTGACAGCCTTGTTTTGATATCAACAGAAAACATACTGCAGTCAGCTGACTGACCATGGAAAACAAAGGCACTCATTGCTTAGTGGTGCAAAGGCTGCCTCCATTCTGAGAGAAAGCCACTTCCTGTTCTACCGAGATCCTGTTGCTCTTTTCTCAATGCGCACGAGCAGGCTTCCTACTGGAAAGTCAGTTACTCTGCACGTGCTGCAGCACAGACTGGGACAGTCAATTCACAAGCTAGACTTACATGATGTGAGGCTTAGGTAACTATATAGTTACAGGAAAGGCCTAATAATTATTAGTGGTTTAAAGAAATATTATGCATTGACTTGAGTGACACTTCAACACGGGCAACTCAAAGCTGGTAGCTTTTTAACTCCCTTATTTTCCCCCGGCCTTCCAGATGTTTTATCACCCTACTTGTAAAGTACGAGTCAAGGCCAAAAAGTTCCTCCTCTTTGACTCCATGTTTTGCTTGGCCAGAAGAGTGAAGCTGGTAGACTAAGACGCCCCTCCTGTTCTAGTCTGCAGCAAATGCAGAGTTACAGACTTTCCAGTAGCAATATACTGTAATTAAGGTTTGTTTAGGCTTTTAAAGTTCTGCACTACTGAATTAAAAGCCTAAACAAACCTTAATTACACTATATTTCCAACTTTTCAATCTTTTTAACCAAGAAAGAAACTGACAACTAATGACCTTAATGTAAAAAAAAAAAAAAAAAAGCTCATTTCCACATTAAATCAAATGTGAGTCTTTAACATCTTAGAAGCTGATTAAAAATTATATAGAATACTTTAAAACAGCCATAAAATAATCCAAGGAAATAGTTCTATTAATATTCTTGGCTTTGACTTTACTTAAGAAGGTATCTGGTAACTTCTAAAACACATCTGAGCAATTGAGAACTGAAAACTGCCGTAAAGAATTGAAATCAGAAAACACAGTGCAGAACCCAGAACATCATAAAATTTAACAGCATTACCTTTTTAGCACTTTCGGGACCTGATTCATCAAAGCGAAATCTGACAATTCTGAAGTCTTTACAATAAATAATTAACTCTGTTGGATTAAATTTCAGTTTCTGGTTGGGGCCTAGGACTTTCTGCTTCCTCTTGTGGTCATTTACTAAAAAAGAAAAAAATAAAATTAAAATGCATAACAATTATTTCTTGTTACTCACCCTATATTACAAATTCTTAGTGAAAATAATTGCAAGGTCACCCATCACTTGCGCTCTGCTTGTCTAGAATATTTCATACTTGTCCATAACTCCTAGAACTTGGGGGTTGGTTTTAACTTTGCTTTGGAAGATACTGTAAATGATTATTTACATAAAACCACCAGATACATTTAATGATTAAAATTTTAATTAAAAAGACAAAAAACTTAGAAACTATGGAAAGTTACATTTTATATTCTCCTTTTAAAATAATTTATTGATGTCTCCCTGTTTCATTAATGTTCCTAGGATTCAAAAAAATGGCAAAAGTAAACTTACAGAAATAAAACTCCAATCCAAGTATGCTGAGGTGTCAAGTTAGTCTCAAACAATACTTCTAGAGCGGAACTGACATTTAGAGCACGTACAGAATAATACATACCTGTGACAATTTGCTCAATACATGTTAAAGGGACATCATGGTCACCAAGAAGAAGGTTTCTGTAATGGAATTTCTGAAATAAAAAATTATGTTCATATTAATTATTTCCCCAATAATCTCACAATGGTAGTATAAGCCTTAAACCGTGACAACAAACTGTGACAACTATCTCTTTATTTTTTTAATTTATTTTTATTTTTTTTTTACAAAAAAAGACAGGGTTTCACCAGGTTGGTCAGGCTGGTCTTGAATTCCCAACCTCAGGTGATCCGCCTGCCTTGGCCTCCAAAGTGCTTAGATTACAGGCATGAGCCACCACGCCTGGCCGTGACAACTATTCTACAAAGCATTCTAATGTTTACAGAACTTAGGTTAAAATGTACACCACAATCTTAATATCCAAGATAGGGAATATCATCAATCACTTTACCAGCAAACATCGCATGTCTGGATCTGGATAAGCTGGCCACAACATATTAAAGACAAAAGGGCCCTTAGGTCATCAGATTTTAAATGGGTAAAATCATGTTTGATTTTCCCAATGAAGATTTTAAACTGGAAAATAACTATCTTTTTAAAGCACAAAGTCCACTAGAAATAAAAATCTTTAGAAAAAGGTTTTGGCAAACCATAGCTTTTTTTTTTTTTTTTTTTTTAACTCGTTAACAAACACTTCATACACATTTTCGAACTAAGGACATAGTTAACACTATCAATCTGCTGTCAGTAGGCCATTGGTTTATTTTTTTCCTAACAGTGGTACTGGATTTAAGCTGTCCTGCTTCTTATTTACAGTGAAATCTGGGGCCAAGGATCATTATGAAGCTAAAAACAAAGAGAAACACCCAAAGCCTACATGCAAATAAGCTACTGTCCCTACACAGTAGATACCTTTAAGTCCCTTAAATTTAGTCTAAATAATCCGGGCACGGTGGTTCACACCTGTAATCTCAGCACTTTGGGAGGTCGAGGCAGGCGGATCACCTGAGGTCTGGTGTTCGAGACCAGGCCAACCAATATGGAAACCCGTCTCTACTAAAAATACAAAATTAGCCAGGCGTGGTGGCACATGCCTGTAATCCCAGCTATTTGGGAGGCTGAGACAGGAGAATCACTTGAACCCAGGAGATGGCGGTTGCAGTGAGCTGAGATCGCACCACTGCACTCCAGCCTGGGCAACAAGAGCAAAAACTCCGCCTCAAAAAAAGAAAAGAAAAGAAACTTTAGTCTAAATATGCCTACATAAGACTATAATGAACACACAAATATATAGTACAGTAAATATTTGTGCAGTACAGTGATATAGTAAATTCGTGGATGACTACATGAAATATACTTACACTAAATTATTAGACCCTTAAATTAAAAAGTTTATAGTTCATATGCAAATATTTCAGTAGAGAACAATTACTATTATAAAGAAAGATCTAGGGGTAACTGTGTATAATACTTTATAAATCAAAAAGAAAATGGCTGGGAGAAAGTCCAGGGTTTTTAAGTTAATCACATGAATGCCTGAACTTCTAAAAACCAAAATTATATGGAACTATTACTTTCCAGTAAGAACTGAAAATATCAAGAGGGCTATTAAATTTTTAAATCGATACTTTTCTTCACTCTTCATAGAAACTAGAATTTGAATTTTAGAAAAAGAACTAATCAATTAAAAAAAAAAAAAGGTAGGCTGGGTGTAGTGGCTCACACCTATACTCTGACACTTTGGAAGGCCGAGGTGGGCAGAATGCTTGAGCTCAGTCTGGGCAACATAACAAAACCCTGTCTCTACAAAAAATAAAACGTTAGCCAGGAGTGGTGGCATGAGCCTGTACTCCTCCAGCTACTCAGCAGGCTGAGGTGGTAGGACAGCTGGAGCCAGGAAGTAGAGGCTGCAGTGAGCCGAGATGGTGCCACTGCACTCCAGCCTGGGAGACAGGGCGAGATCCAGGCTCAAAACCAACCAACCAAAACCCAACAACAACAAAAAGCAATGAAATCAGTAAAATACGTGCCGTTTATAAAAGCATTTAGCAAGCAATTTTTTCTCTTTATGTCATTTTTATAAGCAGGTGAAAAGATCTGGAAAAGACAACTTCCTTAATGAAAAGGACATATAACCAATGATCACAGAGGATAAATACAGAAGGTGACTTACAATCCTCTCACTAAGTATACTTCTCAAGCAAGTTCCAACATTCTTCTTAAACTTTAAATGGAACTTATCCCAAACATTACCTAATAATTTTATTATCATGTTTCCATATCTATGTTTTATAATATATACGCTTAGAGTTGAAAACCTTGACACAATTAAACAGCGTACAAATAAAACACACCTGTAATGGCATTGGGTCATCTGTAATAAAGGAGATTTTGAAGTTACTGCATATCAGCTTTCCCCACAAATCGTACTGGCTTGTGTCTGTGGCGATGCATTTTCTCACAAAATTGACTTCATTTACGACAATTTCTCCTTCAAAAAAAGAAAAATATTGTGTAAGCTACTTTGTCCTAAAATACTAATGGTCACTGTGGGACCTAGAAGGAGTGTTTCAAGAGGACACTGATGAGGACAGTAAGAACAGTCACCATTGCCCACCAGGTGCTAGGCACTGTACACACTTTACCTCCTCAAGAGGCGAACAGTAATGACAAGGCATTGTTCTCTTGTTCTCCAAGGTGTGGAAAAGAGGCAAAAATAGCTCAGGGGTCTGAGCTGGTGGAACTAGAAAGGCTGACCTGAGCGTACTTGCACTTCTTCCTATGCGTGCTACCTCTCATTATTTATCAGGTGGAAGACTTTCTGGAGAAGAAATAAACTACACCTTCTCCTTCAGAGTATTTCTTGATGGAACATTTGTGTTCTACTAACACACGATTCGATCTCTCAAACCAATGTCTTTGATCTCTCTTCTAAAGGAGGAGACACAGAGCTCAGCTTCACCGAATGTAAAATGCTTGGTATGTAAAATTCACATACCAAATCAAGTTTCCGTCTGCACTCAGACTATAATTTAGTAGGCAACAAAACCTTAAAATATAGTTTGAGTTAAAAGGAGATTAAAAGAAATAAATATAAGAAGCCAATACGAAAGGCACAATATGCTTTTGAAAGAATAATTTTCTACAATTTAAAGCTTGCTCATCATTAAACCTTAATTTTGGCCTGGCGCGGTGACTCACGCCTATAATCCCAGCACTTTGGAAGGCCGAGGCGGGTAGATCACGAAGTCAAGATATCGAGACCATCCTGGTCAACATGGTAAAACCCCGTCTCTACTAAAAATACAAAAATTAGCTGGGCATGGTGGTGCGTGCCTGTAATCCCAGCTACTCAGGAGGCTGAGGCAGGAGAATTGCCTGAACCCAGGAGGCGGAGGTTGCGGTGAGCCGAGATCGCGCCATTGCACTCCAGCCTGGGTAACAAGAGCGAAACTCCGTCTCAAACAACAACAACAACAACAAAAACACCTAAATTTCAAGAACTAAAAGTCAACTATACAGAACATTTTAGGCCATCTGTCTCCAGGATCAACAGCAGAAAAGTGAGTGTCCTGATCTACTTTACCTATTTCTATCATTATCAAAACCTTTAGCACTGATGGAATGCTTGCTGACAATCCACAAACATCAATTCATGAAGAATGAATCTACAGCCTCAAAGCAATCCTCTCTTTAACAAATATGTTATAACAAATCTGAGTTGCAATAACTTTGATTTAAAGTTCTTAAAAATGTACAAGGCTAGTTTTATTAACTGCCCCTTAACATTTACTTAAAATCTGCTCATGTCAAATTCAGTGCAAATAGCTTGAGCTAACTTCTATTTTGAAGACAAGCCTCCTCTTGTGTCCTGGGAGCCCTGGACACCCAGCCAGCTACCAATCTTCCTCACCCTTATTCCTCTGCCTACAGTGGCGGCCTATTAATCCCTGATGGGACAATGCTTCTTCCCATTTCAACGAATATTCTTTCCTTCTATCTTAGTCCAGCCACTGTTTGGGGAATGCTATTTAAAAAAAAAAGACAAAAAACCTTCCTATCTAGATTAAATTCACATATCAAAGCACTATACTTGTAATTCTACCACTCATCAAAGCTACAATTATATTTACATATTTTTTAATTAATGCCTCATAACCCACAGGATTACATGCTCCATGAGGGTAGAAGATGGGCTGATTTTATTCACTGCTGAAACGTTAGTGCCTAGAATGGTGTCTGGCACAGGGTAGGTGCCTGTTAAGAGTGCTGAATGCAAGAATGAATAAAATCACTTCACGACACACGGTTCTGTCCAGCACGAGCTGGGCAGTTGTTCTAGTCACCAAGAGAAACTAGTAATTCCATACGGCTAAGCAGTCGAGCTGGCTGGGAGATAAGGGCTGCTCGGGTAAACGATACATAAGTCAGAGAAAACTCACAGAACCGCCACTGCTCGCCTACATACCCACTGAAGAGCTGTAAGTAGGACATCTGTTCTGTCTGATTCTTTCAACAACCTATAAGGTAAGGAAGGCAGATGGTTTCCTTAACACATAGATAAAGGATTTGGACCCAAAGAAGTTAAATCACTTTCCTAAGATCTTAATAAGCAGTAAACTTGGCACTGATAACCAAGTGTTCTGATATCAAATCCAATATTCTCTATAATTACATACACAAATGTACTGCAGTGACAGAGCAAGTACCAAAACTGTATTAAAGTTCAAATATTGGCCTTAATTGAATTCTAATGAGAAAAAAATTGAGGATGACTGTGTGTGTGTGTGTGTGAATAAAACGCACTGAGTAATTGAAATGTATATAATTTAAAGCGTCTCTACTCCTTGAACATAAACCTTATCAATTCCCACAGCAGATTCTGGGCCACTGAATACTCAACCCTCTCTCCTCGCCAGTACATCTTAGATACCAGTTATAAGCAGGCCCTTAATTTAAACAACTAAACTAACCACGCCAGTTCAGACAGGGGACACGGTCCTGTGACACTGACTTTACATGGAATCATCACATACTGTGCCACCTTTCTTAGCAAACTCATCTAAAAAGACTCTTCGAACAATGCTAAAAAAAAATTCATCCGGTTCCAGGACTTATCCATACAAATTTGTTAGGCATGTTATACTGAAATAAAAATTCACTTAACGGCTGGGCACAGGGCTTTACATCTGTAATCCCAGCACTTTGGAAGGCCGTGGTGGGAGGATCACCTTAACTCAGGAGTTCAAGACCAACCTGGCCAACATGGTGAAACCCGTCTCTATTAAAAATACAAAATAAAAATTTAGCTGGGCATGGTGGTACATGCCTGTAGTCTCAGCTACTTGGGAGGCTGAGGCAGGAGAATCACTTGAACCCACGAGGTGGAGGTTGCAATGAGCTGAAATTGTGCCACTGTACTCCAGCCTGGTCAATAGGCTCAAAGAAATAAATCACTTAAAAACAAAAAAGAAAACTATCACAGCATTTCAGTTTCCTGAGAAGGGAAGCAGAAGTAATAAAGTGAAGGAAGAGACAAAGCTTGTGTGACCACACTAGTACCATAAAGCAACTGTACTTAGGAAGAGAAAGCTCACAGACAGCCTGTCTTTTCTAGAAACCAGATTCTTTTACTGATGCACAAATGTTAACGTATCAAGCCAAAGAACTCACTGAGAATGAGACAAAGAAAAGGAGAAGAATATATTTAATGATGGTAAACCATGACCCACGGGCCAAATTAAAACCCCATTTTTGTAAATAAAATTTTAGTAAGACATAGCCATACTCATTCATTCATGTACCATCTATGGCTGCTTTCACAAGACAAAGACAGAGGTGAGTACTTGAAACAAATACCTTATGGTCTGCAAGGCCTAACACATTTACGGCACTTCACAGAAAAGGTTGCTGACCCTGTGTTAGAGATGGTTATTAAAGTGACAACTCTTAAAATTCTCTGAAACAAGGCTTAGAAGATACAACCGGGCATGTACCATGTGAAAGGTGAGAAGTGAAGCACCTGAAAAGCAGGTGTTTTTCGCCTGCAATGTTGTAGCCATCTCAGAGAGCTCCGGAGGCCCACTCTGAGGCGTGATGAGGACAACCTTCCTGATGCAATGTGTCCATGAGAATTAAGCCAAAAGATCCCTTTCTCACCAGTGAGCTACAGCACTCAGCAAAAAGTAAACATGGAAACCAGGTTTAACTGCTCTACTGCCCGTACTCCATCATCAAAAAGCAAAAGCACGAACCTGGGAGTGAACCCCAGGGGCTAGGTTACAGCCTGAGATAGCAGAATGAACTTACGCCTGCCTTAGTAAACATACGAACAGAGAGGCAGTAACAGATGTGTGTACACCTGGGCCGGTACACATAGGTATGTTTTCTAGCTCTGCCATCTGAAAGTTCTCAAGGAAGTGACCCTCCAGCAACAACAGGCAAACTCAGTACCCAGATCATGCTTTTAAAGCACCGTTTTCCAATAAAAAGAACCAGGGCTCTTTGGAGAAATGGCTGATTCCCAGGCTGGGGCAGGGGAAACAGAAGACGAATCTGTGGCCTCCGATAGTGCCAGAATACCAGAAAATAAGAAAATGGGGGTGAAAAAAAAGGAGGGGACAGCATTTCCGCAGGATACAAGAGCCAACATGAAAGAACTCCCAATGGCCAAAACTGGAACAACCTGAGCAACCAAAGAAATAACAAAAATGCTGGATTAGAATGTAAATTAAAAAGTATCTGTGATTCCATACTGTTGTAAACAGATGACTGAATAAAAGATAAACGGAGGAAAAGAGACAAATCTTCCTTACAAAGGAATTCCAATTAATACATGGAGGAGAAATTAGGGAAACAAAATCACGATTAGAACATCACAGTAAAGATCAAGAAACTATCGAAGACTCAATGCCACAGACTGAATGGCTGCTGCGTGCAGTGTGCATTGATGAATGCTAAATTCAGTGAGCAAACTTCTAAGGAGAAACAGGTTATCTGTATGAGCACAAAGGTACCTTCCCCAAAGTATTAACTAATTACTGTGGTGGTTCTAAGGTTTGTCCACAAACTCGTGATTCTCCTCCCTCCAGGATGTGTAGCTTAATTCCCAATCCCATGAACGTGGGCTAGACTTAGTGATTTGCTACCAACAAACGGTATGGAAAAGGAAAAACAGTCACTTTCTAGAGGAGAGACCTGACAGATACCACTTTAACCTGAAGTGATCAAGGTTAACATCACCAATAACCAATCATGCTGCTGTCTTGTGCCTGCTCACATGACACAAGGGAAAGGGAGACCACCAGAGAGGTGGTCTCCCCCACAATCCATAACCTCTGCTTAACCAGAAGAAAACATCAGACAAATCCAATCGAAGAGGCATACTACAAGACACTAATGGAACAACACTCTTCCAAAGTGTCAAGGTTTTGTTGGGGAATCTGAGGAAAGGGTATCCACAGATTCTTCTGTTATTTGCAACTTTTCTGC